CCCTTTGTGCGTGGTGGTAGCCCTGGCAGTTGAAGCATTGTGTGGGCCCTGTTGCTTTTCTCAGTTCCTCTATTCTGACTTTCATGTGCATCAGGTTTGTGATGCGCTTTAGTTTTTCTACGTCCTCTCGTTCCACCGTCATGACGAACATTGGCAGGTTTCTTTTGTCGGGTTTCCTCGAAATCATATTTTTGACCGACAATACTCCAATATTGTGGTCTTCCAATATTTCATCGTGAATACCCTTTGGGTCTGTTGAAGATGGTAGCCCTCTTAAAACCATTCTTGGTTTTATATCCTCTTCCAGTGGAAATGCTATCCACTGGATTTTCGTCTCCTCATTGAATTTTTCAATGATTTTAACCATCTTCCTGTAGTCTTCAGGGCTTTTTGCTTGTATAAGCGTTTCTCGGCCGCTTCTGGACAGTTTGTTGTTTGTTATAACCTGTGCTTTTTGGGCGATGTTTAGTATGGCCCCTGTGTAATTCACACTCTGTAATTTAATTACAGGTGGCTTTGGTACCCAAGTTTTCTTGGGTACCTCTTCTATGTCCATCTGTGTCGGTGTTGGAGAGTGTCGATCGACTTGCGCATCACTAGCCTGTGCACCTTCTTGGGGTTTGTTGGAGGGGAGTGCAGGGAAATCTTCTCTCTTCTTCGGTGCCTCTTTGGGCTTTTCCTCATTTGGTTTCTTGTTTTTTGCTACCTGGGTTTTTGGAATTGCACCCGTAGCTTTCCTCTTGGTTGTGGCCTGGTTTTCCAGGGTTTCCTCTTTTTTCTTCTGCTCCTGTTTTTCCAGGGTTGCCTCTTTTGTTTTGTTTGTTTCGAGACTTTCGAACTTCTTATCCATGTGGTCCATGATTGTCTTTTGAGAGTTCAAGATGTGTTCTTGTAACTCATCAATTTTCTTCTTGAGAGTCTCTATCTCTTTGTCCTTCTCTTGGAGAAGTTTCCTCATTGATTGCAACTCGGACTTTTCGTCTTCGCTGCTTTTCTTTCTGGACCTCTTGATGGCTGCTTTCGGGGCGTCGTCGTCGGTGGTTTCTTCTATGCGGCTTCCCTCCGCATGGACTTTTGTCCTCTTCTTCTTGTTCTTGGGGCGTTTGAATTCCCCTGTTGCGTGGTCTTCCCAGTCATCTACTGGGAGCTCCTTGAAGATCTCGTAGTTTGTCGTCTCTCCGTCGGTGGCATCTAGGGATAACGCGGTGTAGATGTTACCGTGGAGTTTCCTCTCACGGCAACCATCGGGAGTAGAGGGGTTTGCCTTACGAGTCGGCGGAGACCGTGAACGGTCCATTGTGGGGGCGGGGCCTAATCAAAAAATTTGAACGAAGGCTTTTTTGTTGTCCGTCTGGCCCGTTGCCAGCACGGATTCTGGGTGCCACCCAGTGACCTAACGCGGTTGTTCACGCTCTAGGCAGAACTAGAGCGGAGATCCTCTTGCGTTTCTCAACTCTCTGACCCTGGGGCCGTGTCTGCCAGATATAGAATTCTAAAAAACTATATCCCACAGTGTCATCCCAACGGAGGCACAGAGAGTATCCCGACGGGCAAAGCCCGTATGCTTTTTCGCTTCCCTACGCCGCAATTTTGGCCTCCGTGAAGATCTGATTTAAAAAACAAATCTCCCCGGCTAACCTAGTTACGACGTAAGGTTTTGCCTCTGTTTTTCAGGCCTAGGCGCTGTTAACGCCAAGTCACCGCTGCCGTGCTTACATTCACGGCTTGAACTAACAAGTTCAGCTCGGACTTGGTCGTTGCAGCTCCTCGGCGGTGTCGCTCTTCTCGCTGTGGCACGTCTGCACTGTTCGACTGCTGGAGTCGAACTGCTGACTAGAGATCCGAAAATGTACCGTATTTAAAGTTATTTTAACTTTTATACGAAACTTTTTCATTTCTCAACCAATTAAAATTATTAAAAGTTAAAAAAAGGAAGGACTAGGCAAAGTCGAGACGCTTGATTGGTGCGTCTGGACGTCACCAGTAGATCAGGTTTTTGGAGGAGCAGACGGAAAACTAAACAAAGCTTCATTACCAACTGATTACCGCATTAAATTTAAAAAGTTTGGATTTTTTTCCTCGACAATTACTGATTTAATTATAACTGAAAACTACCGATTAGGACACACATAATATACCATAAATGGACTTTATTGTAACAGAAATTAAAATCATAAAGATAACAAGTAGCAAACTGGGCTGTAAGTTCAGCTACTCAGATATTTTTATATGTTTTTACATACTATTAAAAAGAGCAAATAAATGGATATCTCTTAAGCCAAACAGGAAGCCTCATGACATTTAATTAAGAAAGAGAATTGAAAAATATTAAATTACTTTATCTAACATCACTTATTGTAAACTAAGAATAAATACATAAGTATTATTACTTAATTACGTTTTATTAAACCTAATCTAACAAATTATTTTTTTTTCTTTTTTTTTTATTAACACCTGCGCGGTGTTTGTATACTGCTATCTGGTCACAAATGATCAATTATCAGTTATTTTCTGACCTAACATAATAACAGCAAATACTTAAATCTAAGGGCTTACCCTAAATCTAACAAATTATGAAGCCTAAATATCTAATTGGAGTTTGACTGGTCCCAATTTCAAGAAATTAAGTTTCGACGTTTGTCTGACCAGACTAGTTTCTCCTAACTTTGACGAAAATTCGTTTGTCAAAGGGCAAAACTAGAATTTATTTCGGGGTTTGACTAAGACCCTTAGTCAGACCTGAGGATTACTAGTCAAACCTAGGAGCGCGGATAATATAAGATATAGAATATAACAGCGCGGAAGAATATAACAAACGTCCTCTTCCTCTTCGTTATAGAAGACGAGCTCCAAAGATTAACCCACATCTTCAATACAACAGACATGAAATACAATATGATAATATCAGCATAAAAATCCAAATGTATAACAACATCTAAAAATACCCACTACGATGTAAAATCGAAATTGATGGGAAAATAATAAAGCAGGAAGCAAATTTTAGATATCTGGGAATAGATGTAACTAATTACGGAGATATTGAGGAAGAAGTACGTCAACAAAGCTTAAAAGCAAGTAAAGCGGCGAGATCTCTTAATGACACAATCTGGAAGAATAAACACCCAAGACAAGACACAAAAAGAAGAATGTTTAAAGCCGCAATTAGACCCATATTAATATATACGGCGGAGATTAATATGTATCAGATATTGTATGTCGTTAATCCCTGTCCATTGCCTTATGTTTCGGAGCCAGGACATTTTCTTGCGTCCCATTCCTCTCTTGCCTTTAATTTTACTCTCGATTATAAGTTGGAGAAACTGGTATTTTTCATTTCGCATGATGTCACCTAGATACGCCGTTTTCCTTTTTTGATGGTTTCGAAAAGTTGGCGTTCTCGGTTTATTCTTTTAAGGACATCTATATTTGTGATTTTCGCTGTCCATGGTATTTTTAGGATACGGCGATAAAGCCACATTTCGAAAGCTTCTAATCTGTTTATATCCCTCGTTTTGAGTGTCCAGCCCTCTACGCCATATAGCAGCACTGACCATACGTAGCACTTAGTATACCTTAGTCTCAGTTGAAGATCAAGCTCTGAACAAGTCAGTACTTTCTTGAATTTTACGAAAGCTTGTCGAGCTTGCTCAATGCGACATTTTACTTCCCTGTCCGATGCCCAGTCTTCAAAAAGCCACGATCCCAGGTATTTAAATTGACTCACTCTTTCAATGGACTTAGTATTCAGTGTTATGGTGGAGTTTTCAAGTGCATCTAAGTTTCTGGAGATGATCATAAATTTGGTCTTTTTGGTATTAATCTCTAATCCCATTCGCTTACTGTATTCTCCGATTATAGTGACAAGTTGTTGAAGATCGACTATATTGTCACAAATTAAGACACCATCATCAGCATATCGTATGTTGTTGATCAATACTCCATTCACCTTGATTCCCATCTCCATCCTCCAAAGACTTTTGAAATATGGCTTCCGAATAACTGTTAAATAAAAGAGGGGAAAGCATACATCCCTGCCGAACGCTTCTTCTTATATGTATGGGTTTGGATATAGAATTGTCTATTTTTAACTGTGCCGTTTGATGCCAGTACAAGTTTTCAATGCATCTTATGTCTTTTTGGACTATATCAACTTTCTTCAACGACGAATGAAATTAATCCGACGAATATTAGGGAAAAATCAGGTGTATAGGGAAAGAAGTGAAAATGTACGAGTAGCACGAGATAAGTCATTAAATGGACAAAGAAGTATTGGCAAATCAAGAAAAAGATGATGCGATAATTTAAACAATTTAGTAGGATAATATTGAAGAAGAAACAGGTTTTAAAGCCTACATACGTGCTTTTTCTTGATGCTTTCGTTATCTCCTTCTCCTCAATATTTATTGTGTCTGCTCATGTTTCCTTCTTAATATATTTCGGTTTTATTAGTTCGTTTACCTCTTTTTTTTTGTCTGATCATTCTTCATATTCCGTGTTCCATTTGTTTTGACATGCTCTTCCAATGTTTCCTTCTTATTTGTCTAACTAAATCATAATTTTAAAGTAGATAACTGGGGTAATAAAAAAAGGTAAAATTAAAGTGTTAACAGGAACTGGGTATTTACCAAAGATAAAAAGAAGGAGAATAAAGGAAACAGACACCTAAAGCTAATTTATTTTCTAATTAAATAAGATAAAATTCAAGTACATAATCTTCAACAAATTTATATGTTTTTTCCTAAAGACTAATAAAAATCTTATCTTATCTAAATAATAAACTGATTGGGATCTGTGATTGATATAAAATAAAATATAAGTATTGTAGTAGAATCTACATTTATATTTTAAACAACAGGTATGATAAAATTTTAAATTTTTACTCATTTATCTTTTTTGGTTTGTTTATTTCGTATATTTCGTACAACTTAAGAATCGCAAAAAATTTTCAATATTAATAGTAATTTATGCAATAAGTGTATAAAGTGCTACTTTTTTCACGAATGGAAAAATTTAGACAGGCAAGTTCGGCAATTCCATGACTGTAAAACAGATACTTTGTGCATGGGTTTCGTACAATATTTTTTGTACAACCCTATACAAATAATAATAAGAATTGCCATGTTGATATCCAACCTTCGTTAGAAGATGGAACCTTAAGAAGATACAAATAATAAAATCAAAATCGTAATTTGCAACATTTTAATTCAAGAAGTTTTAGTTAATCACTTTTAGTGACGAATACATAATGATTATGGCTCTTCTTCTTTCTTTATCTTAGCAATTTTGCTTATTCGTCGACTTATATGTGTTTGTAAATCTGGAATTGTGATGAGTAAAAATTGTAGCTAATTCTCAATTTTAACAATTTATTTAGTATCTCTTCTCTTTAAAACCCCTTTAAAATAAATTAAACATTTAAAAATGGTACCTTAAAAATCTGGAACGTTTATTAAAAATATATTCATTTCCTCTATGTCTGTATATCAATAATTTTTAAAGGGAGTATAAAAGTTTTATAAATTATTATTTTATAAAGTCTAAAACACCATAAATATGTTTATCTGTGCTATAAGATATTATCTAACTAACATGTATTTCTATTTCTGCAGAGCGACATAATGAAAATATTTATTCTGCTTTGTGCTTGTCTTGTGGTTGCCGCAGCACAACTTTCGGCTGACGAACAATGGGCCACGTTCAAGGTAAATATATTTTATGTCATACTACTTTATTATTGTGTTTTTATTACTTAGTTACCAAATACATAATAGTATAGATTAGGCTTGTGTAGAGGCTATTATAAAAACTATCGAAAACATCTACCAAAACAACAAAATTGAAGTTAGAATAGATGGATAACTTACAAACCCTATAAAATATTCAGCACAATAGACAAGGAGATTCATTGAGCCCCATTCTCTTCAATTTGATCATGGATGAAATCATCAAAAGCGTTAACAAAGGAAGAGGATACAGAATGGGAAACAAAGAAATCAATATACTCTGTTGTTACGCAGACGAAGCAATATTGATAGTCCAAGATAGTCTGCAAAGACGGGTCCACAGATTTAACATAAGAGCAAACGAATTTAATATGATAATCTCATCTCAGAAGACTGAAACTATAGTAGTCAGCAAAGAACCAATAAGATGTAAAATAGAAATTGATGGCGAACAAGTAATGGAAATAAAATATCTGGGAATTACACTGTCTAGCTATGGAGACCTGGACAAGAAAGTGAGAGATCAAGTACAAAAATCAAATAAAAAAATTGTTTGGAAAACAATTGGTTTTGGAAAAAGCAAATAGACTCTCGGGATGCCTGAAGTACACTATATGGCGAAACAGACATATTAACACTGAGGCGAAGTCAGCAATTTATAAAGTTAGTGTAATACCAATAATGGCATATGCCTCAGAAACAAGACCCGACACAGACACAACGCAAAGGCTAGTGGAAACGGCACAGATGAGAGTACTCAGAACAGGGATGGCCAACCCGCGGAACGCCTGCCACTCTGTGGCACGATTGAGTCCTATCAGTGACACGCGTAGCGTGCCACTGATAGGACTTTCAAACTGATCAAACTTTCAAAAAAATTAAAACTTGAAAAACAAAAAATAATAAGAAGAAACTTGGTAGGTTTACAGAAGTTACAATAGATGCGGCATCATTGCATCCTCTGGCGAGCGATATTGCTGCGATTGGTGCACGTGATCCTAGCTGTCGTAATGTTTATTTTAAACTGCCCCATTGAATGTGCACATTTTGTCATTGCGCATTGTTTCTTTAAAATTTTAAAAGTATTTGTTCGATATGTCCACGAGTAAGCCTTCGACTTCAAAACGAAAATACGAAGATGATATTGCAATTCGCGATTTTCAACCTGCTTGGGAAGAACAATTTTTATTTACTAATCGTAATACTTCAAAGCCTGTTTGTTTGATATGTGGATTGTCTGTAGCAGTTCCCAAAAAATTTAACCTGGAACGACATTATAAACAACTGCATAAGGACTTCAGCAACAAATATCCTATTGGTTCACATTTGCGAGCCGACTTTATTGAAAAAAAAAAAAAAAACCCTAGCCAGCCAACAGTCACTGTTTCAGAAGAGAAGTGATGAAATGGAAACTATGGTTAAAACATAATATGAACTTTCTCTGCTGTTAGCCCGGAAGAAAAAAGCCTACTCTGATGGAGAGGAGATATTTAAAAATAATCTGGCAATATTTGCTAAAAATGTGGGAGATGTAAAGATCAAAAATATGCTCGATAATATTGCATTATCCCGAAATACAGTCATGGGCTGTATAGATGATACGGGCCAGGATGTTGTTTCCCAAATTATAAGTGGATTACAATCCTGCAAATTCTTTTCTTTAGCGTTGGATGAAAGTTGTGACAACACAGAAAATGTGCAGTTAAGCATTTTTGTCCGTTATACCAATGATAATTTTGAAAATGCCGAAGAGCTTCTGGATTTGCGCTAACTAGTCACAACAAGAGGACATTTTTCAACAGCTTAAAAACGTAATCGAAGTCAACAAAGTTGAATGGTCAAAATTAGATAGTGTTTGTACAGATGGAGCTCCTTGCATGGTTGGTAGACTAAAGGGGTTTATTACATTACTGGAAAACTATTTGGGAAGAAAAATGTTTAAGTACCACTGTATTATTCACCAGGAAGCTCTTTGTGCCAAGGACCTAAACATGTCATCTTTTGTTGACCCTGTAACACGCTGCATTAACAAAATACGAGCTCGGGCATTGAATCGACGACAATTTCGAGAACTGTTCGCGGAAGAAACGGAGCAAATGGAGAGTTACTTCTCCATTGCAGTGTGCAATGGCTCTCCAAAGGAAATGCACCCGAAAGGTTTTGGAACTTGAAGGAGTGCGTCTTAAAATATTTGCAAGAAAACAATGAACTACCCAGTGAGTGCTCGTTACTTAATGATAAAAATTGGCTTTGGGATTTAGCTTTTCTCACTGATATTATGAGACATTTAAATCTATTAAATTTAAGATTACAGGGAAAAAATTGTATTTTTTCTACTCTAGTTGGTCATATATCTTCTTTTGTGAATAAACTTATGCTTTTTTGTAACGATTTTGGAGAACAGAAATTGACACATTTCACAATAATGCAGGAATTAGCCAACAAGGTCAGTAGAACTCCAAATTATGACAGATTTAAAAACCTGATATCTATTTTGCTAGGTTCATTCAATACCCGGTTTGAAGATTTTCAAAAAGACAAAATGAATGTTGACCTTTTCATAAATCCTTTTTCTATTTCTCTGCAAGATATCAATTGTTACTCATCTGAAATACAGATCGAAATTATTGATTTACAGAACCACACTATACTAAAAACCAAATATACTGAAATTACTGATCCCAATTATATTGAATTTTGGAAATTTGTACCAGCAAACAATTTTCCTAATTTACACGAGTTGGCTCTGAGATATTGTTGTAGATTTGGTTCAACGTACGTTTGTGAGCAAATGTTCTCTATTATGAACATAATAAAATCAAAATATCGGTCAGGATTAACTGACATGCATTTAAAAAATCTAATTCTGTTGGCTAGTTCCGAAATTAATCCCAATATAGATGAATTAATTAAAAAAATACAAGTTCAAATACCACATTAAATAAGTAACTGTTTAATAATTTGAATTTTAGATAATAAGAAAATATTTAAGTTTTTTTGTTTAACGTTTTTATTTTATTTTTATTAACAATAAAGTAAGTTTGTTGTTATGTTTTAGTTATTACGTTATTTTTTAAACCTCCACTATCTTGACTAAACGGAAAAATGTGGAATTTACATAAGAAATACATATTGTACCGTATATTATTAATATATAGTATCCATATTAGTATGTCGAAAAAATTTAGTGGCACGCCAAATTTTTTTTTTGTTCTCATATTGGCACTCGACTTAAAAAGGTTGGCCACCCCTGACTTAGAAGAATTACAGAAAATACTCTGTACATACATACTATGTTACAAATGTTGCATACAGTATACAAATGAATGGACACAAAATCGAAAAAAAAATGAAATAACCACATAAGCAAAATGGAGGAGACCCGTGTCGTCTAAATAGCCAGAGATAAGTCACCAATAGGAAAAGAAAGTATCAGACGAACGCGAAAAAGATGGAGTGACAACCTTCTATAGAGATATTTATTCGCCAATGAACAAGCATAATTTCTTATAAAAAGAAAGAATAAGAAGAAGGCTGGTGTAGGTATAAAGAGCACTTAATGGCCCGCGCAGACATAAAGGGAAAAAAAATTTGATAACTGCTTAGTATAACTACATAACAATATTATGTGGGATTCACATAAAACTAACAATTCTGGAAAGATCTGGTAATAAATAATGTGCCAGCAACAAATACTGATTCATGTTTCATTTTCTGTCCATCAAGTTTATGCAAGGAAATGCCAGATCCAAAAGATATGCCTATCATCATCCATGACATCTCTATATATCCTTCTAGATATACTACTCTCTATATATCCTTTAGCAGCTCAAGTACTCTTCCATCCACCATCCTGCTTTAACATTGTCATACTGGATCTAGCGTCTGCCAGAAGAGTTGTATAGTCGATGCAGACAGTGATCTGTATACTTGTCAGGATGACTCAAACCCAAATATTTTGTAATGATGAAGGGGATTTTTCCAAATGTATTTTTTTTAAATACATGTTTTTGTCTCTGGTACGTTTAACACAAAAACTGATTTTTATTTTCTACGTGAGTTCTTAGTATACTCATCAGTTGTCATCGACATTACCAAATACACCAAATATTGATGCAACTTTGGTTATTAAACATGTCGCATTCGTTGCTTTATGAATAAATGTTTGTAAACAATGTTTGAAATTTCAGTTGTTTTCCGTAATATTTAGATGGAAATTTCGATTCACATTTTTTTGTTTATAATACTTTTAAAAATATTAATTTAAGGATGTTATTAATATTAAACTTTGTTTTTTAGAAAACTTTCCAAAGAAGTTACAAATTACAAGAAGAAAAACTTCGTTTCCAAGTATTTCAAAAAAATCTTCGCAAAATTGTTGAACATAATTTAAAATATGAGAAGGGAGAAAAGAGTTACTTTCTTAAAATAACCAAATTTGCGGACTGGACCGATAAAGAGTTGAATGCTATATTAAACCCAAAAATAGTTGCTAAAGCACAGCATAAAAACACCAAAACGTTCGTACGTGATCCAAACTTAACTCGTCCAGCGAGCATCGACTGGAGAGACAGAGCTGTCTTGGCTGTAAAAGATCAGGCAAACTGTGGTTCTTGTTGGGCATTTAGTACTGTAAGTGATAATTTATTTTTGAAACTAGTTTTGTTATAACCATAATAATTTAATGCACTAATCTCTTTTACCGTCTTCATAATTGTTTAGTGATACTATTCTGTTCCAGCACTGATGAAGTATTTTAACTGTTTTTTGTCTTGTGGATCATCTTATTGTTTTTTTTTTCTCTCCGCACCTTCTTCATTGCTAACCGTTGCACATTTGAATAATCCAGGCGGCCAAAATTATTTTTATATTTTATTGTGTTTTAAAAAATGTTACTAAGCCAAACAGTTTTCGCTTAGTATTTTTTTTTGGTAAAAAATGTTACTAAGGCAAACAAAATAGTTTTATAAAAAAAAATATTTATTAACTAAAAATACTTCATTTTATTATTATTATGACTTTTATTATTATTTTAAAATCAAAAGGTTTAAAATTTTCCTATCCGATAAAACTTGCTATTGTATAGTATGTGTGCTATCAAACACCATTATCAAAATTCAAATTTTGTTCTTCGCTTCCAGAAGAGCACCCAGCTGGGTTCGGATCGGTAGGTAACATAATTCGCAAGGTTTCAGATGGAAATATACTCTTCTTTTTTCTTCTTATTGACCTCCTACAACTCATCAAAGGGTCAGAATTCAAAATTAAGCGATTGAAAATATCCTTGCTACAGCTTTCGCCTTTGGCATGTCCACAAATAATTCAGCTTCTTTACGAAATTTTTCCAGGATTTCTTGTTTCCTTTCTTTTTAATTGTATTATAGCTTCTGTTTTTTTTTTGCTCTATGCTGTTTTACTGGCAGTTTCTACGCCAAATATAGAATATTTTCAAATAATCGTATCATGCATGCAATACAGGGAGTCCAAATTAAATTGCCCCATCATCAACATATTTTGCTATATCTAAATTGTTAAAGTCTTTTGAGTTGCACCGCAAATGTAACATTAACTTGTCGAGATAGTTTCTATGGCAGCATTGCAAACCGTTTTGTTCACCATTATCATTATCAATTCATGTTTGACTCTAAATTGTTGACCACATAAGTCAAAATCAGTTGCAACAAGAGAGTTCATAGAAGTATTGACATGATCGATTTCTTTTTGCGTAATATCATTGGTCTCTTTAACAAACCTAAAGCTTATTGGCCGACCAAACCTAGGAGACGAGAGTGTGGAGTTTTTCCATGCAGTTTTTTCATGTTTTTATCTACATACTAATTTTAAATAAACAAAGCAGCTTTGAAAGATGTTCGTTTAACTGTCCACATTACTATCAAACTATTGTTGGTACTGCGATTGCTGGTACCCATAACAGCCCCATTTTTAGATTTATTTTAGGGTTTTGCGTTCCTGGTCCTTCAATGTTAGTAATGTCTTTTCCAGTTACTCAGATAACCCAATAACGGTAAGATCGAGGAAAGGCTGATCCCGAGAAAATCGCATCGAAATTAAAAGAATAAATCCCTGTAGCTTTAAATCTGTCGCTAGCATTTTCCGGGGAGAAGATTTTTTCCAGGATGATTGTAGAAGTTTAGAGTTAACAGGCAGCATAAAAGTCAGGCCCCGTCAAGCGGCTGGGAGTGGTCAGTTGTGTTTCTCGAAAGCCATAGCAAAATAACTTTATATTGTTTAGCAAGCTCAAGCAGTTTAACCGAACTTAAATGAGAAGCGTGGTCGTTTAGTCCAAAAAATAATTTTTGTTCCTCATCATTAAAAAGGCTGGTGGTGAAAAATTTCCTTCTGTATTACAACAAGCTATGAGTATAATAGTTTCACCTCTTTCTGTTGAGGTATTGTTGGACATATTGTTGAACCATTCGCAGCCAATGCAACTTCGGAACGGGTATTTAGCTGTAGCCCTAACTCGCCCATATTGAAGATGAGCCGGGACTTGTTATAAAGTTCTAATAATCTTTCAAACATTTTTCCAACAAATCGAAATATTTTTAACCTCTCGTGAACGCGATTAAGTGAAACGCCTTTTGACATTCTCCGCGACAAAATCATTATTTCTGGATAAAAATGTTTTAGCCAATCCTATACAGCCCTCCGATGAGTTTGTTAAAAGAGTGTTTGATTCCATATTGGTTCGCGAAGTGCTAAACTATGAAGCTAACCGTTATTAATGGAAAAATGCCATTTTGCATATCTTCTATATGATGAACAAGCCTAGGTATGACAAGATTTCCAGTTTTCAAACGTGTTTCCGATGTTTTTCTCAGAATTTCAGATTCTTTATGCATTTTCTATAGAAGAAATATTTTCAACGGCTTGAACGGCACTGAGAAGGCCTTTTTAAATCCATAAACCTCGAGATACACCAAGTTTACTTATGTACTTATTTGGTATCTGAAAAAAAATACAAGTTAAATACCTACTACGGCCAATGGGCAATTGATAGGGAGAGAAGGCCATCCATTAAATTTCTAGAAAAATGTAAGAAAGAAGGTAGTAGGAGGGGCGATAAAAAGTTGTATATGACATTCGTTAAGTCTTTTTGTTTTTACCCTTAGAAATTTTGTATTTTGGAAATTGTCATATTATTTTGCAATATATTTGCAATTTGTAAGTAGTGGTTAATTTTCACTAGTACTAAATGGATTACCAACGAAAATAAAACTTATATTAAATTTCTAATAATTTTAATGTTAATAAAAATGTTTAAACTTTAGACAGGTGCACTTGAAGGTCAACTTGCTATTCACAAAAATCAGACAATTCCCTTGAGCGAACAAGAATTAATGGACTGCGATACTGGGAATAGTGCATGCTTTGGAGGAAATCCTGACGTCGCATTTGAATACATTGAGTCAAATGGTATTAGTTCAGAAAGTCAATACGAGTATACACAACAAAAAGGTCAATGTAAAAAAGTGGAAAATAAACCAGTGTCAAGCATTTCAGGATGGTTGGGAGTACCTTCAGATGAAGATGCTCTTATGGAAGCTGTTGGTAAGTTCTGATCTAAACTATTTTTTAGCGTTTTCTCTTATTTATCAGTTTTCCCTTATTGTCTAAGTCTAAAATATTACATATTGGTCAACTTAAAATATTGATTCAATTGATATCAAGGAGAAATTTCAAAAGTTCGTAAATTTTTATTTTCAAATTTATTATATTAACAAATTTACACCTTTTGAAAATTCCTCGGACACCTACACTAGGTCTTTAAAAATCAAAATAAAAACTTATTGAATATTAATACAAATTTTATGAATTAATTACTATTTATAACTGGGAATAAGCCACAATTAAAGATAAAAATACGTTTATTGACGTTTCAATTTCCAATTCGGAAATCGTTCTCAAAATACAAACGATTTTGTATTTTGTATTTTGTTTGTATTTTGAGAACGATTTCCGAATTGGAAATTGAAACGTCAATAAACGTATTTTTATCTTTAATTATGGCTTATTCCCAGTTATAAATAGTAATTAATTTACAATGCCACAAGAAAATAGCTTCAGAACAAAATTTTATGAACATTGATTTCGCGCGGGTAACTGACATTAAAAATCGACGGTCGCTTCAAGCCTTGTTTGTGAGAAAAACGGTTCATTTTACACAAAAATTGTTTAAAAATATATTTGTTTAAAATTATCTTAAGCCACATTTTTTATTTAAAACATTTTTTTCTGCGGCGTACAGATTCTTGATAAATCGTTTGTTTTTTTCGTTTTTACTCCCCTACGAGGGGAGTTTTAGGGGGAAGCCCGAAAGTAAAAATAAAGAACTTTTTCACATCTTATTGATGTCCTTAAATTAATATTCTCAGTCAAATAGCTACCTACCTTTACGTAGCTTCCGTAGCTTCTCAAGTTTAGAAGGGCACGGTCTGATCAGTGCCTTAACTGTGGTCTTTGGGATACTGTGACACACATGTGTTAAAGTGTTGGAGAATGTTTGATTCCGTAAGAAAAATGATGGCAAAATGATGAGGAATGAGTGGTGGCAGATACGGATTTCCAAATGTATCAAGGAAGTGCTCTCTTTAGAAGAAAAAGTGGAGAGAGAACGCGCAACAGTATTCTTAAACCTTGTAGCGACTAGCGAGTAGCACCTTGGAAGGGTTTGGACTATTACAGGACAAAATAAGGGGTTGATAGATAGATAGTCTTTGGTGGTTCGTGTGAGTATGGTTCTCCCGATGAATGCGCAGGAGAAAGAATGGAAACCGGGTGATAATACGGCATCAGGTGATATGTTTTGCCCAAACCAGCCCTACCATTCTGATGTCTGGAGTAACAGAGGAGAGGTTTTTAGTTGGTATCAAATCCAAAGGTGAAGTAGATGGTAAGGAACCTAAATCTAAGCTTTCAAGCAAATAACGAAGTTAATTTCACTTCAAAATGGTTATTTTAAATACCGTACAACTTATAATAATAATAATTAATAATATCGTACGACAGATTTTTTAAGAGTGTGCTCGTTCAAAAAATTTGAGAAAAATCATGATGCTTGAGACCACCAAAAATCAAGGGAAAAATAATAAAACTCTTTTTTGTCTTAAATAGCGAGTATAGAGCAGCACGGTATTCAATAATTGATCTTATGAGAGGTTTGTAGGCATATAGGAAGGGGAGTTTGTAGCATTTTTAAATTCTTGGTATGTCTTGAAATAACACGGTATGTGTTAAAATACCGAAAAAGTATTTTCAATCTTTTTGCGTCACCAAGGTCAATAACAAGCACATTTTAGAGTTTGTTTATATCTTGCAGATGTATATTTCTTCGATATTCTTTGATCAAAGCCGCTTTGAGATATTTTGCGCCTTGCAAGTAGACAGAAATGTTCCCGTTTATATGTTTTATTTATACTAAGTTGGGCGAATGAATTTTAAAGATAATAACGTCACTCTCGCTGTCATCTAGAGGTCGCTTTCAGGAGAAGTTGTCTTCAGTGTTGGTCCAAATTTTACGTCAAATTTGAAATGGTTTGTGTTTTTTGTCCCTTTTCATGGAAAATGTGTAGCAGTGTTAAATTAAATGTTACAGTTACAGTTAAAGTAAGGTTTAAAAGATTGGCCATTAAGAGCAGACGTCGGCAGATCATAGATTTTATTATAATTTAACCAATTTTTAACCTTAGTTTATATTTAGCCATCTTGATTATTTTTAGCTAAATATGGTCCAGTTTCTGTTTCTGTTTTTGCTAACAATGATTGGAGTTTGTATGGAGGTGGCATCTTTGAACACGCGAGCTGCAGTGGACATCCTAATCATGCTGTGTTAGCTGTTGGCTATACAGAAAATAGTTGGATAGTTAAAAATTCCTGGGGAGCCGCTTGGGGAGAAGATGGCTACATTCGATTATCCCTCGGTAATAATCAATGTAATATTACATACGCTAGTCAAATTCCTGTATTATAAACAACTAAATATATGTTTAAATAAAACATTTTTATGCTATAACGTTGTTTCTTTTTGTCAAAGGTTTTTGTTTATTAGTACTGTTGTATTTGTATAAATGTTAAAGATTAACAAAGAGTATAATTTGTCCAAGTTAATTGTAAATGATAGACCAAGAATATTAGAGCGGGTATTTTATTCCGCAATAACACATTTAAAATATGGCAAAGCGGCAGGTCTTTATTATACAAGCAGAACTACTCAAACTTATGGACAACAAATCAATAGCAATAATCGCAAAGACATTTAACAAGATATACACTTCTGGAGAAATACAAACAGAATGGCTAAAATCTGAATTTATTGCAGTTACAAAAAAACAGGAGCCAAAAAAATGCAAAAATTACCGTACTATAAGACTCATGAGTCATCTCCTAAAATTGTTTCTGAAGATAATTCATAAAAGAATCTACAATCTGTGTGAAAGTCAAATTTCTTCCAACCAGTTTGGGTTCACAAATGCTGTTGGTACTATAGTGTATTTTTATGTATGAGAGAATAATAAAACAATAAATTATGTATGCAAATCCCTAAACTGTTGATACGGGTGACTCAATGAAAAACAGATATTTGTCAACAAGTTTACAGAAGTATATAGGAAAACAATTTTAAATTGAGTATGACCACCAGGTATAAAGGTTGAAGCAGAATAGAATACAATAGTTGTGAGGGTTACTAATCCCTAAATAAGGTTGCCAGTGTCGGAGTGATGGAGGTTAACAGGTACTAATGAATTTGCAAGAAATGTAAGATGTTTATTTTATTGGTTATATATAACCAATAAAAGTTTAATAAGTACCTACCTATTTGCAAAATAAAGTTTAATTCTTTAGATAAAATAAAACGTTTTATTTTATCTGAAATAAGCGCATTCCAGGAAGTAAGGGTTTCAACAATCAAACATTTAATTCTTTAATTCCAGGAATCTATGACAGTAATTGACTAGATAATTACCTTCTAAACTTATTCCACAGAAAATGTGATAGTGGGTTTTTCCATTTTGTAGGAAGGTCCAAGTGGCGTATTCAAAATTCTTAACAGTTCACTAAAAGTAGGTACCTCAGTTGCAAGGTGCAGTTTATTGTGTATACTAGTGTCATGGAAAATTTGGAAGTGTCGTGTAAACGCCGAAAAATTGGTCCTTTAACAGTTAATGAAAAAACATTAATATTTAATTGTTTTAAATCATTTATAGACAAACGTTTATGTGAAAGTGTTGATGAGACCGTTGAGTTAGTTAGCAGTACAGTTGGTGTTGGAAAATCTATGATTTACAGAGTTATTAAAGAACAGAAATGTGGTAGTTTTCAAATGCCATGTAACGCTCCAGGGAAACCAAAATTTTAAATAGAATATCATTTTAAAAAAGGACTTCGACGGAAAGTGCATGAATTCTTCTTTAGGCAAGAATTTCCAACATTACCCAGATTACCCAGAAATGAGTCGAAGTACGTTATGGAAACTTTTAAAAGAAATAGGCTTCCGCTAGAAAAAGAATCCCAGAAAGTCTATTTTATTAGAAAGAAGCGATATTGTCATATGGAGAAGACATTTTCTAAGAACCATAAAGGAAATGAGAAACCAAAAAAGAAAAATATTTTATCTTGATGAAACATGGATCAACGAGGGTCATACACCAAATAAATTTTGGCAGGATGAAACTGTTACAAGTCAAAGGCACGCTTTTGTAAATAACTTATCTACTGGTTTAAACCCACCATCAGGAAAGCGACGCAGGCTGATAATAGTACACATTGGCAGTTCAGACGGTTTTGTTGAAGGTGGTTTATTAACTTTTGAATCAACTCGTACCGGTGACTACCATGAAGACATGAACGCTGATGTCTTTCAAGAATGGTTCGAACAAATGATAGATCTTCTTCCTGAGAACTGTGTAATAGTAATGGATAATGCAAGTTATCACTCCAGACTTATAGAAGGACTGCCCACAACCAAGTGGTTAAAAAGAGTTGCAGAATTGGCTGAATTCAAAAAATATTACGTACCATCCCGGATCTATAAGAAAGGAACTTTATTCGTTGTATGCCCTTCATAAAGAAAAATTTAAAAAATACGAAATTGATGAAATTGCCAAAAATCGTGGAATGACAGTACTTAGATCCCCACCATATCATTGTGAATTAAACCCGATTGAACTGGTATGGGCACAGATAAAGAGTGAAGTTTCAAGAAAAAATACCACTTTTAAAATTCATGATGTTAAACAATTGTTTTTGGAGGCCGTAAATAATGTAAAGCCTGAAAACTGGGAAAAGGCAGTAAATCACACTATTAAAGAGAAGGAAAAAATGTGGAAGCTGGACAATATTACTGATAAAATGATCGAGCCAGTTATTATAAATCTTGGTTCTGAAATTTCATCTTCTGAATCTGATTTGGATTTGTAACAAGTAGCTGTAAGTTTTATATTAATATTTTTATTCATTTATTTAACATACCTTAGACGGTTTTAAAAACTCTTTTTCTCTTTTGTAATTTTTAAAAATTAAAAGAAAATGTTAATTTTTTAAAACCCTTTTTAATGTAGGCCAGTCAGTTCTAATATAGTGTGTGATAAAAGAGGTCACTTTTGTTTACATACACATAACACTTTATAACACTGAAATAATTCATTTATTTTTACAATTATTCAAAGTAATTTTTCAATTAATCTTGAGCACGCCCGGAGTGGTCGAAGGTACCAGTTAAAATTATGCTAATTACTCTCTCGTTCATAAAAATAAACTATAGAAAGGCTTTGTTCGCAGTACGAGTCTTATTCTTCAGATGCAGAGACGTTAACTGCAATGTATACGCACATCTGGTTGATTACCAGAAAGTGTTTGATCTAGTACAGCACGTCAAAATGATGCAAATACTAAAAGAAGCAGGAATTAACAACTAAGAACTGAAACTAATTAGAAATATTTACTGAAATCAGACAGCAAATCTCAGAGTTAAAGGTGAACACACTAATTATGTGAAAGCCATGTGTGGAGTAAGGCAAGCTGGATTTGATTTTGTTTCCTCTAATCTTCAATCTGTACTCTAAAAGAATATTTATCGAAGTTTTGCACAAAACTGAAAAAGGTATTCTACTAACGACAATATTTTGCCTACCATAGGGGACTTTAACACAAGGGGCAGAAAATTGGGGGAAGAAACTAAGAGGATGGAGATAGGGCAAGCAAAATAATCGCTACTTGTGCGAACGGCACTCAGGGTTTGGTAGGAGAGCTGGGGTCGTGGATAAGTAATAGATAAGGGGGATGGAATGGGGCAACTACACGAAATGAAATAAAGGGGATCATTAATCTTTTGGAATAAACAAAAGAAAAATAAACAGGAAACACCTCAAGGAATTTAATATAGGGCGCCACTTGAGGTGCCTAATTACACCTATCACAACCACTAGTTGTAACTAGGAAAATAATTAGAAAGCATCAAAAACATATCTTTTTCAAACTCAAAAAAAAGGTTAGTTCAAAAAAAAATAAAATGTTAAGAAAACAAAATTCAACATTTATTTTTCTGTCACCACAAACAGTTACAAAACAAATGATAATTACAAAAACAATGTTGCTATCGGTTTACAACTCTCGACGGTGGGGACACTATAAGAACTTACATTATTAATAAATTGAAATCATATAGATCTTTCAATGCAGTTTACATTAAGGTCAACTTAAAAAAAAACAAAACAAATTCAAAACTTATGGTTAGTTATGTGTATAAGAATAATTATTATGACAGTTAGCCAAATCCTAATTTTTATAATTTTACTTATTACAATTTTTCAACTTGTCATTAAAGCAATTATTAATGATAAATGTCTATTTTTACTTTAAAAAAAATTATCAAAAAAAGTACCTGACTTCACTAAATATTAGTTTTGGGGCTGGAACTGGTTTTACTGAAATCACATGGTTCCAGACTCAGAATGGTCTGGAATGACCAGGGACAAGCAAATAGACGAAGGAAGTTGAAGTTGGGCTGGATCATCGGGCTTCGGGTCAAAAAAAATTGCAAACTTCTAAGCTTGGATTTTCAAAACTTCATTGAAAATACGATGGCCTCTTATATCGTTGTAACACCTTAGAAATCTTCCATTTAGGACATAATACAACACATATAACTTTCCACAAACAGAATCTGTCGGCTTTCTGAAGATTACACGCCGAGCTCTTAACTGCCACCACACTACACATTTTCCCATGACAAAAGACAAAAAAAAACGAAAAACCATTACGAATTTGAAGAAAAATTCGGACTCCAATAAAACTACAAACGCTCTTGACAGCGGTTTCACCGAGAGTAAAGAAATTATCTTTTAAAATTGATCGCATAACTTAAAATAACAAACACTTGACAGGAATTAAAACGCAGTTTCAGGCGGTTTGACGATCAAAGGAATATCGAAGAACTTGGACATAAACAAACAATAAAATGATTTATCAACACAAAAATCGACTTGGCGACGTGAAAAGAACGAAATAATTCGGTGTTTAAATACGTACAAATCGGAAATTGAAACACATTAAAAAACATTCTGCGATTTTTCAAACATTTATGAGGGTTGTTTAATATATCACCTATACGAGGGGATTTCAATATATTTTAAAGAATCAATGAAATTAAAAATGCTACAAATGGTTACCGGCTAAACAACATCAGTTATGACAGCATAGTATTTGCAGACAACTTAGAAGACCTACAAGTTATTATAAACAAAATAACGTATTACAGTCAACAATATGGACTCAATATAAACGTTAAGAAGACAAAGTTTATGATAATTAGCAAGAAAAGGGTACAAGAAGGTCAACTCTAAGTCAACCAATACCCTGTAGAAAGAGTGACTCACTACAATTACCTCGGCACCATAATAAATAAGAAATGAAGCAACAGCATGAATAAACCAGGAGATTAGAGAACGCATCGGAAAAGGGCACGCATCTATTTTCAATCGGATGGGGGCATTCTTCAAGAGTCACAACCTTTCTCTTGATACAAAAGTAAGAATACTGCGATGCTACGTCTTCTCTGTCCTTTTTTATGGTGTTGAGTCGTGGACCTTGAACGAAGTTATGTGCAGAAAACTAAAAGCATTTGGGATGTAGCTATAACGGAGAATACTTAAGATCCCGTGAACTGACCGAGTCACAAATGAGGAGGTCGTCTTGACATATGATGCTGGCTTCTCCAGCATTATATCTCAAGACCTTAATTTTTTATGATCGCGTCCGTGAAGAGTAAAAGTCTTTGCCTTGTATAGAAATATTGGAAATACAAGAGCAGTCACCAGTCTTATCTTGATGTTTTGAGAGATAGATCTATCTTTCCAAACTTTTGTTAGGCGACTCATCGGATTTTCTGCCATACCAATACGTCTCCGAACTTCTGCTTCACAGTTACTATCGTTAGTTATACTAAACCCAAAATAGACAAAACTGTCTACTATCTGGTATTTCTGTAACAGAGTAGTCAGTTGAATAGTGTGGTATCTGTCGACCACCAGTATATTCGCCTCTTTATTAATTTGAGCTTTATTCGTTTTCAGACAACTTTATTTCTTTCGTACTTAACTGTTCGCAGGAGATCAAAGGCCCATACGGCTTTTTAAAAGGTTCCAAAACCATTTGAATGATTTACAGTATATGCGAATGCAGTACGAATAAAAGGAACTATAAAATATTGCCCATTACTATTAAGAACTACATTGGAAAGTCATTCCTGCTAAAATTTCCTACTAATATTACATCATGAATATATATTTAACATCAAGAAATGTTAGTTTATATTTACTGAATTTTGATTTAATCAGTTTCTCTATAGAGGTTTATCAGTTTGTTTTTACCTGCAGTCATCCATAATATCCCATAATAAATCTTCAAATACTCACCTAGACTTTCTTTCTTATTTCTTCTTTATGTACCATGTCCTTTCAGAACGTTGGTTACCATAATAGCTATCTTAATTTTATTCACTGCCACCCTAAATAGCATGCTTGTATTAAAACCAACCAATCTAAGTTCTTCAACCATGAGGTTCTTCTTCATCCTGGACTGCGTTTGCCTGCTATTTTTTGTTGCATGATATTTTGTAGCAACCTATATTTGGGACCTCTCATTACATGTCCGAAATACTTCAGCTTTCTCTGTTTGATGCTTTTTGTGATCTCGGTAGTCTTGCTGAGACATTCTAGTATTGTGGAGTTTCGAATCTTCTCCACCCAGGAAACTTTTAAAATTCTTCTATAGCACCACATTTCGAAAGCGATTTTATTCACAGTCCAGGACTCGACATTATAAAGTAAGACCGAGAACACGTAGCAGCGAAGTAGGCGGATCTTCAATGCCAATTTTAGGTCTCTGTTACATAACATCTTGGACATCCTTCTAAAAGCAGCTCTAGCCTGCTCTATCCTAGATCTAATTTAGCCGTCACTTTCTGCGTTACAATATAATTGCTGTCCAAGGTAAACAATTTTATCAACTTGCTCAAGTTTTGTAATATTTACATATATATGGTTTTATATACTGTTGTTTACTTATTACAAGTATTTTGGTTTTCCCTATGTTCAGATCCAGACCTGCCTTCCTACAACTCTCAATGGCCCTATCAAGTAGTGTTTCCAGATCTTCTAGAAGCTAGAAGTACTGTATCGTCCGCATATTGCAAATTATTGATGACTTCACCGTTTATAAGTATTATTTCTTGTTTTTTAGAAAATGCTTTTTGAAAATTCTTTCGGAGGAAACGTTGAAAAGCAGGGGTGACAAGAGGTATTCCTGCCGTACTTTTTTTTAATATTGGGAACCTGTGATTCCATACCATCTACTAAAACCGATGTTGTTTGATTCCAATATATATTTGCAATTATTCGAACATTTCTGCCGTCCAAGCCAATGTCTTTTCGAGCTTCGATCAATATAAAGTGCTTAATACGATCAAATGCCTTTTGGAAGTCAACAAAACAACAGTATATGTTTACAGATCTATCTTGACATCTTTGGGCAAGTATGTTCAATCCAAACAGTGCTTCTCTTGTTCCAAACCCGTTACGGAAACCAAACTTTCTTATTAACAGATCTTAAATGCTTTCTTTAAGTCAATGAAAACCATATAAACGTAAGTATCTATCTCATCATCATTCTCTTTGCCTTTATCTTGAGGCAGGGTCGTCTTCCTTAACTACATTTCTTCATAACTTTATATTCTGGATCAAACGAATATGAATTCCCTTTACCAACATGACCTGCCTAATCTTCTTCTCGGGTCTTCTTTGGTATCTTTTTTCTACTCCTTCAGGAACGTGAAATCAACAATTTTTCTTATTGGGTGATTAACATCCCGACGTTACACATGTCTAAATCATCTTAATCTCTGCTCTCCCAATTTGGCACTTGGTGCCACGCGTTTTTAATTTGATGCTTTTTTGTTACTACACTCATCCATTTCTTCTTATTCTTCTTCGTCTAGCCATTCACGTTCACATCTGAACATAAGCCGCTTCAAGTCTTCTTTTCCATTGTTTTTTATTATACGCTACTTGTAGCCAATTTTTCCCGGCAGTCCTTTTCAAATCATCTGTCCATCTCATAGGAGGCCTGCCTCTGGGTCTTTTGTGTTGGTATGGTCTCCAGGTTAAAATTGATCTGTGCCATTTGTTTAGATCGCTCCTAGCTACATGTCCAGCGTATTCCCATTTCAACTTTATTGATTTTTGCACCACATCGGTGACTTTGGTTTTCTGTCTTATCCATGTGTTTGTTTTCTTGTTCTTTAGTGATATACCTAGCATTGCTCTTTCCATCGCATGTTGAGTGATTCTAAGTATATTCATATTCTTTTTTGTGATTGTCCATGTTTGTGCCGCATAAGTTAATATCGGAATAATGCATGCATCAAAAACTTTAGATCTAAGATATAAACTCTAAACTCATCCATTTAAGCATTCTTATTGTCGCCACATTCATTCGTTGTTCCTCTGTCTTTTTAATTTTCCAACAGATTCTTAAGTTTCATTGGAATCTTTCTATCACATAGCACACCACTCACTTCCTTTTACTTCACTTATCTCCCCTTATTAATCCGCATACATCTCCATCTGTTTCTTATTTGCTCTATTCCGACGAAGAACTATTACTATTTACAATAATTTCACCCTCCAAAGGTATCTGGATATTATTTTTAGTAACTTTATACTTAAATCAACATTTCAAGGGCTCTGATTGTGTCCTAATAAGGTTTAGACTTTTTTTCTTAAGAGATGTCTTTATTGTTCCAGTTGCGTAGAAAACTTTTGTATAAACTTTTTTATCTATGTATATTGAATCATATGTGTATTTCGATGTCAGTTTTAATTTTCACTGTTTGTCATAACTTATAAATATATAAATTAAAATCAAACCTTTATTTATATATTTATTTATATTAAACATATTTTTTAATTTATCATCATTTACAATCTGGGGTAAGAGTTCATGAGGTTAACACCGCACAAGTTCCTACCACGGATAATTCTGATGTAACCACGCTCACCCCAACTGGTTCCCCATGAATTTTTAACGATCAAAGCATCTTTAGTATATCCTACAGCCAAAACTCCGTGGTTGAGAGAGGTTCCACAGTTCCTATTGTTATAAACTCCACCTCCATAATGCTGCCATGTATCTGCATCAACAGCTATAGATACTGGACCTGCATTAGCTGAAAAAACCTGAATTTTAGTTACTTATATCATTAGTATAAATTAGTAATACACAAATATAAGACAAACACAAAATTTACAGACAATGGCTTAAGTAGGTGAGGTTTAAAACTGTCGAATACTGATAAGATGCCCGAAGATAAGGAAGAATTAAGCGTTGTAACCTCCCTTAATAAATATTAAAGTTTTATGTAGCCACATTCTTCTGTTTATAAGAAGTCTTTGTGGACACATTAAAGTTGGTGTTTGATATAAACATTTTAATTTTTGATGATAGTTATTATATACAAGTGTCTGGTAGACTTATGGATTGTTTTATGTCACATGTGTTGGTTAACTTGTTGCTAAGGTTATTGGATTTTCAAATTCTGTCCACAAAATACTTTTACTTACTAGAATTGGCTGATTTTTGCTCAAGTAGTATCTGAAAGAATGTAAGCAGTCCTAAATATAGTTGATAACTAGTGTAAACAGGAGATACTTATAGTCAATCTTAAAAAAAACACAAGTCGTCAAGTTTATAAAAAAGACAGCATTACAAGACCTATAACTATAGGTGCAGAGAGGAACAGAGGTTTAGTTTGTCAAAAAAAAATACCTAGTAGTATATTTTGATCATAGGCTTGCATTAAGTACTGACAGACTTAAACCCATAGAGAAAGGTACGATGTCCTGGAGAAGATCTAGAACAATGTGAGGTAAGAATCGGGGGCTTAACCCCAAAATGACTTTGTGACGTGGTAAACAAAGACGCAGCAAGTGGGAGCAATAAGGCTGCTAAGTAATACACAAATACTAGAATGTCTGTGTTCAACGGGTATCATAAAAACAGCTACTACAGTGGCACTGAAAGTTCTGTTAAATCTACCACCACTTCGTATTCTTATAAATGACAAAGCCAGATATGTGATGCACAGATTAATACATAGTCAATAAGACATAAGCCAGGCGCATATTGCTGACAATAAAATGCTAATCGAGGAGCTAAAAGTAGATATTGTTATGGAACAACCCATACATGTCTTCTTCTTTTGTGCCATAAAGATGTATTCATAGCAAAGGTGTACCCATTAGCAGAAGGTACTTAATATACTGATGGCTCAGAAACATCGGAATGTGTAGAAGCCGGTATATCAGAGATCAAGCACAATTTTTCAGGTAAAAATAACGGCACTTTATTACTAAAATAAAGTGAACGAAATAGAAATCTATAAAATACCGTATGTTTCAATTACCATCTTCACAAATAGCCAGGCTGCGCTTACAGTACACAATTCTGTAGATGTTAATTCTAGATAGGTTAAGAAAGTTTGGAATTTTTTGGATAACCAAATAATCTAGGAGACTTAGTAGGCTAAGGTACCGGGACACAAGGGTCATAAGGGTAATAAAAACAGATGAAATAACCAAACAAGGTTTATCACTGCAATTCGTGAAATTAAAATTCTTCTGCAGCATTGCAAAGCCAGTCAAGAGAACGCCTAGAAGATAGTTAGTAGCTTACCAATGTCTGTAATGGTGGAAGAATTAACTAGAACAAAAACTAGCAAAACAGTTCAGTATAAAACATTTGCCAAAATTTATAGCAGACCTAATGAGCATACAGAAAAACAGTCAACTCCATAGTAGGGCTGCTAATGAGACACTGGAAGCTAAATAGGCTAAATGTTTAATGGCTAAATGCTGAATAGTTATAGCTTATCGGATTGGCATATGATGACCTATGTAGATTCTGTCACTTAGAGAAAGAGACAGAGAAAGAGACAGCTTTTATGCTGGCAGTCTGGCAAATGTGCGGTACTTTACATTAGGCGAAGAAATCCCACCGGCAAAGAGTTACATACAAGATCATGTCTTGAAGTCATTAGACCTTCTAAAAAAGGGTCATGCTAGAGAATGGTACATATTCGAGGCCGAAACCAAACACTATTACTATGTGACAAGCATTATATAGAATATTGATTTAACAAGTCTTAGGTCTTCTAATAAAAAAAAACAAATTTTAGAACCAATATCTACTACAAAATAGCTATTAACCTACCAAGAGCATTAATTAGTGCAGTTTCAGTTCTAGCTAGATTTACGTATCCACTGATGGAAGAGACTTGTTTTTGTACCTTCTTGCAACTACCATCTCTAGCTGTGTATTTATATTTACTTTCTGCTGCTAGACCATTTCGTCTAACGTAGTTGAACGCATCTGTCATTAAACCTCCTTTGCATCCACCGTTTACTGTGTCACAATCTACCAATTCTTGTTCACTAAGAGGAACGTGTTGATTTTTATGAATAGCAAGTTGACCTTCGATGGCTCCGGCCTAAAATTATATTAAATATACAGTATAAATAATTAAAAAATATTCTGCTCTAACAAGCTTTTTACAAAGTACAGAAAACTTTAAACCTCCGAATGAAAATTTTTAATTTTGCCAACATATAATATCACCGTTTTATATTGTAAGGTATCCCTCATTTTTAGAACTATAAATAGATAATCCATGCATTCTTATGCAAAACACAAAACTAATCGGAACTGAATGTACAGCATTTATGACTGCTTGACAATTAGGTATTACAACAATATTCTCTTTCATTCAGATCTGGTTGAGCTAGGTCAAGATATTCTGGGAGTGACACTACACCAATATGGCGGTTGGTGGGGGCATATATGGGTGGTAGTCCAGAAGGCAGCGAAGAGTTCGGCTGCGATGGGGAGGGTGATGCCCAACATTAGAGGACCCAAATTAGCAAGGAGAAGGGCCTTACACGGTGTTCTGCAGTCGATCATCATTTAAGCGCCACCAGTCTAGTGTGAGGCGATACAGATACTGACCCACAAAGGGCTCATGATACGAGTAGGCAGAACAAGTCTGTTGCGAATAGCATGCGTCTACAGGACTGTATTTTCGGCGGCCTTGTGGACTATCACGGGTTGTGTTACTTTGCATGTGTTATCAGTAAAAAGAGGACATCTCTATGTGAGAAGAGAATATTTGACATCATCATCATCATCATTATCATCAGCCCATAGTCGTCGACTGCTAAACATAGGCCTCCTCGAAAAACCTCCATTTAGATCTATCTTGCGCTGCTGCAATCCAGTTGGTACAAATCCTCTTTATGTCATCAGTCTATCTTGTGAGTGGTCTTCTAGGGTTTCGTCTATCCGCTCTCGGTTTCCACTCCAAGATTTTTTTGGTCCACCCATTATCCTTCATTTTAGCGACTTGTTCTGCCCACCTCCATTTAATTTTGGCTATGTGTTTTATAATGTTTTTACCCTATCTCGCAACGTTATCCCTAACAATGATCTTTCGATTCTACGTTGCGTCACTTGCAGTTTTCGTGTATATGTTATTGTTAGGGTAAGTGTCTCTGCGCCATATGTAAGGATAGGCAGGACACACTGATTAAAGGCTCTTCTTTTTAAGCTGATAGGTATATCATCTTTAAAAATATCACGCAGTCTTCCATATGCTGCCCATCCCAGTGTTATTCTTCTTAGCAGCTCAGCAGTTTGATTATCTCTGCCAATTTTTACCGTATGTCCAAGGTATATGTAGCTGTCAACAATTTCAATTTTGACGTCTTCTACCCTTAAAAGATGGCTCGAAACTAAATTAGTCATTATTTTTGTCTTTTGGTAGTTAATATTTAGTCCTACTTTACATGCTGCATCATTCATTCAATATATCTCTGGCAGCCTTTAGAGCATCTGAAATCAGAACAATATCTTCTGCGAATCGTAGATGACTAAGCATCTCACCATCAATATTTATTCCTTTACTTTCCTATTCCAGTTACTTCAAAGTATGTTCAAGTATAGTAATGAACAACTTAGGCGACATAGTATCTCCCTGTCGAATACCTCTCCTGATATGTATCTTATTGGTAGGACCGTGCAGATTTATAGTTGTAGCATTTCTGTCTATATTTTTTATAATATTGGTGTACCTATGATCAATTCGACACTTTTTCAATGCCTTTAGAAGTGCGAGTAGTTTGATAGTATCAAACGCTTTATGGAAGTCTATAAGTGTTAGAACTAGAGGTCTGTTAAATTCTTTGTATTGTATTGTATATTTGACATCAGTCATAAAAAAAAGAAGAAAGAGAAAGATTAATAGAAAGATGGCAAAAAGACTGGAATAACACGAAAGATGTTGCTCAGTGGACCAAGATCCTGATCCCGAGCCTAAGGGATTGGATTGACTCTGACACAGGCGAGATTACTGGATTACTTCCTGATGCAAGTGGTCACAGGACAAGGGTGTTTTAGGACATCTCTTCTTAGATTCAGAAAGACAGATGTACATAAATGTCTATACTGTGAATACTTTGACATTGTTACTCACACAATGCTGGAGTTTAATAGATGGACAGTGGAGAGAAACAGAATATATAAGGAAATAGGTACTGTTTCCGTGAGAGAGATGATATAGATAAAAGAAGGTAGTGCTCCTAGTAGAAAAGTGAGTATCGAAGTATGTACGTGCGATAATCAACTGCACAAGCAGGAGAGGGTGGTTTTAGTTGGTAGGCAGGATAACAGGAAGGTATTTGTTTGCAGAACTTTCTTCTTCTAAGGAGGAATGGGCTCGGATGTACTCCTATACCCTGAATTCAACACACGCTAGCCATTTTTGGGGATGGATTAATCTAGTACGGTTTTTAGAAATTTCCACCCTCAGGGAGAAAAAAAAGGTCAAGATTTAACTAATTAAGCGGTATCTTATTTTAGGTTTCTAAATTATTACTCCAAATATCGTTTTCTGTTTTAATTATTTAGATCTGATATAACTTGATACTATGCACTAGTTTTTTCATTAGATTCCTGAAAGTATTTTTAATTTTTTTTTTAATTCTTAAGAGTTCTGTGGAAAGCATTGAAATATGAATCAGATTGAAATATTATGATGATATTACCAGCACAAAATTAGTATCTTTACATCTTATTTAAGCAATCTAATATACTTAATGAGAATATACCACAATTTTAATCGAAAATCCGTTACATTTGACATTTTTTCCTGCTTTGGAACTGCTGAAAAATTTGTATTTTGGTCAAAAATTATTTTCCCAAAAATGTTGGTGTTATTATTAATACTTACGGCACTAAAAGCCCAGCAGGATCCACAGCTTCCTTGATTTTTGACTCCCAAATCAGCATTTTTCTTTCTCCAATCAACCTCTGTAGGGACTTGTAAACTAGACACAGCTTCGAATTTTTCAGTAACCGATAGTTGTGGCCTCTGAGCCATTTGAGAGTCCAACATAGCTTTAAATTCAGCATTGGACCAATCCGTAAATTGATTAATAGCGAGGTAGTAGGTTTCTTCTCCATTTTCGTATTTAGCATTGTGTTCGTCGATTTTGCGGAGGTTCTCTTGGAAAACTCCAAAACGAAGTTGTTCCTCAATAACGTTGTAGGATTTATTATGCGTTGCCTTAAAAAATAAAATAATTAACATTTTTTTAAATAAGATCTTAGCAACATGTAGCTTCAAAGAATAATCAGTTATATTATAAACAGTTTCATTATAAAGAAAAATGGGCTTACAATAACTTGAATAAAAAATATGTATATATATCATATAAGAAAGTCTCTAAATAAAAAATGATGATAGTATTATGACAAGAAAAACTTAACACCAGTTTGTTAAGATTAAAAATTATTGCCATTTTGCTTTTAAATTCGTTCAGTGAAAGTTCAAATTAATTCAAGTTTCAGGCATCAGAAAATGTAGGTATCAGACTTTAGACCATCAATGGACAAAATTTTTAAGAGGCTGGCCAAATTTTAGAGATTAGATTGGCTAATAGGCCGCACAATTTTCTTTATTATACAAAGTTTTACTAAAACGTCGGATTTTATTTCTTAGAACTAAGTGCAAGTTTTATATATGCTTCACTTGCCACCTGTATCTTTTACTTCTTCTTAAAGTATTCTTAGAAGTATAGAACTTTGTTTGTAATGTGTTTTGTCCATGAATTCCGATTTGTTGATTATACTTTTATAACAGTGGTTTCATATCTGTATGGTAAAAGAGATTACAGATAACATTTTAGGAACTTAAATCTTAATTGTAGCCAATTGACCAGACTATTTTGTAATTTGTATGCACAGAACAACAATCAGAGTTGCAGTTAGTACTAAATGTAAGTTAAAAGTAAATTAAAGAATTGACTTGTATTGACTGTTCTTTTTTTGTTTGTTTGTGATTTTTTATTATTTTTATTTTTATTTTTTTTTATTTTTTTTTATTTCCTTGTATTACTTTTTGATATTATATTGTTTTGGTCTTTTTTATATTAATTTTGTTTTGCATATTTTTTTTTTATTTACTTATTTTTTTTTTCATTTTTTCGTATTAAAAGGTTTATTACATGATTGATATATTCGCAAATTACTTACAAGATTTATCTTAATTCTATGGTTAGTACATTATATTGTTTAAAGTTTATATTTACAATTTCTTATTAACTGATAAATACAATTAAAAATTTCTAAGTTTCCAGAGAAAATTAATTCATTTATGTGAAATGGGAAACAGACATTTAATTTTCGTAAGTTTTTATAAAAACATGTAATATTTCCTTGTTGGTTTACACATTCTAATAGGATATGTGTTAAATCTCCATATTTACCACAAGTACAGTTTGGAGTGTCTGCGAGATCCATTTTGTACATTCTTGAAGGTGTTAGAGCATGATTTGGCCTTGGCCTATTAATAGTTTTAATAAAACTTCTGTTGGACTTCTGAATAAAACCACCTTTTTTTAAGAAGTGTGGGTTGCCAATATTTAAATGATGACTGTCTTTCGGATTCCGTATAATTGGCTGGCCATTTTAATTTGAGCCGATGTTTACTATATACATCTATATATGACACCGGTAGAATATTGTTGTCTATGGTTTCTCCGCTTGATAATGCTTCTTTTGCCAAAGCATCTGTGATTATATTACCCTTTATCCCAGACAGACCTTTGATCCATGCGATAATAACTTCTCCTCCGAGCTTGGAAACCTCGTAGTACAATTTTAATATCTTTATATCAAGATGAATCAATTGTTTGGATTTATTTGTTACACATAATCTTTCTACTGCACTCTTACTGTCCGTAAATATTATACAGTTCTTCATTTCCTTTGTCAAAGCGTGAGAAAGAGCAAACTTCATACCCAGCATTTCGGATGTGTAGATGGAGGCTTCATCAGGTAACTTATATTTATGCTGTTGTCCAGAATACTGTTAATATACTGCGCAAGCAGTGTTATTTCCTTTTTTTAAACCATCGGTAAACATATAATAATAATTAGGCCATATCTACTGAATTTCTGCGTTATGGGGCCTTGGACATCGTTGAGAAATTCTGTCTTGATTTTTATTGAGAACAGCACATGAGGCTTTTCAGTATACACTTGTGGAAGATGACCCTTATAAAGTACCTCTTTAAATTTAGACAAATTTCTGTAGCTTTCCGCCACGAGCGGAGATTTTTTTTAAACCAATACCTTTTAGTCAAATCTTAAACAGCCAGATTGTGTATATCTTTGAGAAATACTTGGTCTCTGCTAATGGTACGAGCTATATATTTGTCGGTGAGATACTGCCTCCGTAAATTCAATGGCGGTTCAACAGCTTCAATTTCCATTAAATTAATTGGTGTAGATTTCAGATACCCAAGGCACAACCGTAGGCACTTATTTTTCTGTACGTCAATTTTTGTTAAATGGGTGTTCGATGTGTTTCCATACAAGTGGCAGCTATAATCGAAAACTGGTCGTATCATAGATCGATAAAACTTTAAACTAATGTTGGGATCTGCACCCCAGATTGTTTTACAGAAAGCTCTTAGGATATTCATAGCTTTTTCGGTTTTTTTAATGATATGTTGAATATGATCTTTTTACAAAAGTTATCTATCTAAATAAGTTCCCGGGTATCTGACACAGTTTTTAATTGGAAATTTGAATTGACCACAATTTATATACCCTTCTAGAGTTCTATGTTTTCTAGAATAGAATCAGATTTCTGTTTTGGATTCTGATAATCTTAATGCATTTGATTCATAAAATGCATGTATTGATGAAATAGCTGTTGTTAAATTATTTTTAGAAACATCAATTGATTTGTCTGATGAATAGAGTACCCCATCATCTGCAAATTGTAGTATTTTTGTGTTAAGAGAAACAATGACTTCTAAATCTATATTATATAAAATATATAAAATTGGACTTAAAAAACTTCTCTGCGGCAGTCCTATATTGGACAGTCGAGGAGAAAAAATTTTCTCATTGATTTTTAAGTAAATCAATCTCTCTGAGTACAAAGTTTTCAAAAAGGATGTTGTACCTATAGGTATCATGACTGACAATAACTTTTGTTTAAGGATATCTAAATTTATATTATTAAAATCAGATGATACATCCAGAAATGCAGCTGCAGTGGATGAGTTTTCCGTGAAAAAATACACTATTTCACTAAAACAAAATCTAGTTTGAGTTTGTCTTCCTTTGAGAACGTATTGGACACAAATAGATGTTTTCAGTAATGTCCGATTTCATAGTTTCGTTTTAAGATTGACGTCACCAAAGAGTGAGTTAGGTTCATGAACTTTTGTAAGACTTATGAAATATTAAAAGTAAAATCAATACCTTAAAGCTGGTCCATTGTTCGAAGGCGGATAATTTGGCATTTGTGGCCACAATAAGGGCAGCAGCAATGATCAACAGCTTCATTCTGATTTTTCTGAAAACATGTTTCACGTGTATTACATTTTCAAATGTTTCATAAATTTATTTGGATTAAAAGAAAACAATAAAGCATCCAATACAAAATAAAAGCTTTGTAATCTTTTACAAAAGTTTAATATATCTTTAATATATCTCTTAATATCTTCAAAACCAAACAGTTTTCGAGATATTCGCATTTTAAAAATCCACTACATAATTCTGATTTAACGCAATTACATTAGGCAACGAAAGAAAATAAAAGAAAAACATTAATACTTTTGAATTCTGGTATAAAGTACCTTTAATAAAGTTAATAGTTAACGAATTATAAAATACGATAAATATATCAGCAGGATACCTAATTAATAATACAATTTGACAAAATAACAGAATAATTTATTGGATTTTACATAAAACATTGTACGTTTTGTATTCAATTAAAGTCATAATCAAAATATATTATTTACAAATCAAATTAAGAAATGGTTAAACTAAATAACATTAAACTTTTTGTCAAAGTCAGTGTTCTATATGTCCACCATTTTCTTTTATTCATTTTCAATACATTCCATAAAAGATCGTCTCATAACAAATACCATTACTGGTTCTAAAGAAACTGCTGCAGTATTTATTATAAGTATTATAATTATAATAATAGGTAATTTTTTGGAATTTTTATGAATTAAATAATTATATTAATATCTCACCATATGACCAAGGAATATGACTACAACGAATAATCCAACGCACGTGGTGTTCGTGTGTATTAAGGTATAAAAAAGCGCTTATTAAAAGCTTAAAATTTTTATTTTAAAGAAGATCTTTTCGGAATTGTATCATTCCATCATCAGTTTACTTATTACCTAGATATCTCCACTTCATGGTTTGTTCCAGTTTCACTTTTTAAGAATAATCCAACGTTTAGGAAGGTTGTATTTGTCACATTCCTTTCTCTGTAATGTAATGGTGTACCATCTTATATAAACCACATACCTATTTCGTCTTCAGTTTGATGATAATTCTTCCAATAAAAAAAAATAAAAAATGTAAATAAATCTCACCATATATCAATATTATTGGAATATAATATTGGATATAATATTATTGGAAGAATCGCCATCAAATTTAAGGCGAAATATGTGGTTTATACAAGATGGTACACCATTACATTACAGAGAAAGGAAAGTGGGAATAGTATTCAAATATAACCTTCCTGAACGTTGGATTATTGGTGGTAGTCATATTCCTTGGTCATGTAGTGAGATATTAATATTTAACTCATAAAAATCCCAAAATAATACCTATTATGATACTTATAATAATTATAATAAATACTGCATTAGTTTCTTTAGAACGAATGATGCTATTTCATATGAGACAATCTTTTATGAAATGTATTGACAAATGAATTATAGAAGATGGTGGACATTTTTGATTATGATTTTAATTTAATACAAAACGTAAAATGTTTGATGTAAAATCCAATAAATTGTTCTGTTATTTTGTCAAATCCTATTATTAATTAGGTATCCTGCTGATATATTTATTGTATTTTATAATTCGTTAATTATTAACTTTATTAAAGTTATTTTATACGAGAATTCAAAAGTATTAATGTTTTTCTTTAATATTCTTTCGTTGCCTGGAGTAATTGCGTTAAATAAGAATTATGTAATGGATTTTTTAAATTTGATTATCTCGAAAACTGTTGAGTTTTGAAGATATTAAAGGTATAACTTTTTTTTGTTAAAATAATGTGTCTTTAATACTTTTTATCAAATATACCGGTAACTTGAAAGGCAAAAAACTTAAGTGCAAATATGTGTCACATATGTGGCAAACGTGGCGCCCTGTATCATCTACATCAAAGTGTGCATTAAATTATAATTCCGGATATTCAATAGTATCCATTTGTCAATTTTTATACATAAACGTTTACACACGCGCAAGTTATATCGAAAAATAAATTTAAATTTCCACTTTAACACCCTGTATCTTTTTTAATACTAATTAAAATTTACTTTAAATATTTTAAAGTGTAGAATCTGCGGGTTCTTTTTGTACAATTACTTAAGGACCACCTTGTATATTATATTTTAAATACAATGGTAGAAAGTATATGAACTTACCTTTTATTAAAAGAAGAACAGAATACAACTTGTAGAAGTAAAGCAATAGTAAAAGCTTTATACTTATTCTTTATCTTAATCCCCTTGATTCTTAATCCGCTTGATAATTATCTTGGTAGTTCCTACAAATGTACTTTACAAGTGTATATTTTGCATACAATAAGATATCCAAATGCGTCTCAGACAATTGCTTACTAAACAAGCAAAGATGAGTGTCACCTTCGTAACTTATTCATTCAAAGTAATATCTTTGTTTGTCTGTGTGTGCTATAATTCTTAAAAGAATAGTGAATTTTGGTACATAGGTTTTGGTTCATTTAAATACAAGCGGCTAATAGATCTGCTTCTCATTTTTCTTTTTTTTTAAGAAAGTCTCGATAGAAAATACTTTTTCAGTATTGGGCTACTTTGGACTACTTGTTGGCAGGAAGCCATAATTTATCGAAGTTGCAGGCAGTAGGTCGGTTAGGGCAGATCAGTCTACGAGTATGTTCCACGTTCTGTATGTCGCCAAATTCACATTTACTATCTGTTTTATGTCTTAGGACCCATAACACAGTTCAGTGTTCTTTATAGTATTCATTAGTGAAGTTTGCACCAGCTGCATCTAGTCCACAAGTGGGTAGTTTGCAGGACCGTCCATCATCATATCTAGGAATCTGCTACTATACTTTTAATCTTTTGGATTTTTATTTGACTATATTGGATTTTTATTTGAATAGAGATGGTGTTTATACAACCTGTTGTTATTCTGCATATTTCATTTAGGATGACGTCTACTGTTTTGGTGTGGTTCAATCTGGACTAAGCCCGAAGGTGTATTATTCTGTAAAAGAGCAGGGTGGACGAACGGTAGTTCTCAAAACGTTAGTCATTTGACATGTCTATTGTGACACCCAAGTAGACTGATCATTACTTTTAAGAAATTAGTAGTTACAAATAAAATAAAAAATAATTCCCAAACTACTACTTAAATTAAAAATAATTCCAAAAAATAAGAAACTATGAACTTAATAAAATTCTTACCGAATAAAATGTTTAAACAATCACCACCTTTTGCCAAAATAAATCGAAATCTATTATACAACGCCTTTCTCATGTCATTGAGTTTATTTGCCAATATGTTTTTGCTAAGTTTGACTATCTTTTCTTGCTTCAAGTGGGTGGTTTACTCGAATTCATGCATATAAAAAGTGGTGTTTAGCATGTCAACATGTCAAAAAAAGGGGAGTAGCAGAGAGAAAACAATAATGGGGTGACCCAGAGGTCCATTATATTGTGGTTTTTTAACTTATATCTAGTTTTAACTAATAAAACGTTCAGAAAAAAATGAATCCAAAATATCTCAGACTAAACGTGAAGGTCAGATGTTTTGTTGAAATCAAATTTCAAAGTTGACGTTGATTCGAAGATGTTGAAGTGCAGGAATAATTAATTCCGTAGTAATGCAAGATATTTTACTGCATCTCTATCCTTATTATGACAAGTTTTTTCTTCTTACAAGTTTCTTAATATTAAAAATAACTTAATTATTGTTATCAAAAATTACGAATGCAAACGCATTTGTGGACAAAGTAAATTATCAGACAAACGAATGATTGCAACCATCATGGAAATAGAGGAAAATTGTCATAGATACACCATAATTATCCGACAAAAATTATCTCACTCCTAGTTATGCAAAACAAGTGTAAAATTATATCATTTTATTTGTACAAGTCTTTAGAAACGTAGATACATATCTTGTAGATAATGTTGTATGTATCATACAAAAAATCTAAAAATAATTTCTTTATTATTTATTATATATTTACTTATCTAATCATATATTGTTCAATTATTCGTAGAAAAAACTGCTTTTGTATTATAATGTAAAAACTAAAAATCGTATTCAATGGATTTCCCCTTTAAACATATCTATTGTTTATTAAAAGCTATTTTTAAATACTGTTCTTCTAGATATCCACAATTTAAAACATCTGGGCTCAGGGATACAGGATGACCATGAAGAAGTTTCCTTGTGAAATGCCTATGGACAAGAAGCTCAAAGTAACACGAAAGCTCTTTTCAGACAGTAGATGGCAGTTTATTTTGTAAATGGGTACTAACAATAGTCCTTTAGTAGCCCAGTAACGACTAGAAGTATCTAGAAATATACTTTAGCTAAAAAGATTTTTTTAATAAGTAAAATAAGCAAAAGATTTACAAAATTAGTGTGTTTACTAAAAATCATAAATTAAAGGAAAACATCAAAATCCTTATATACGGAGTTTATTCAACTCCTACACAAATACACATTTCACAATCAGAGAAATGTGCTATAGATAGTCCTAATATATTCTTCTTCTAGTGCCGATTCCACTAATGAAGATTGGCTATAATAATTGTAAATCTATATCTTATACTGTTCTTAAAAGCATCTGTATGATGAACCCAGTTCAGTTGTGAATGTCTGCCAGGGCCTCGTCTTTCTTTGATTGTACTCTTTATAATCAGCTGCAACAGTTTATACTTATCGTTTATAAGTAAGTTCTCCAAATATAATGAATTTCTCCTTTTAACACGTTGCCTGCCGTGAAAGATTTTATAATGTTAATGACGGTATCACAGTAACAATAAAATTCTCGGTCAAATAGACCTAGTTGTGGTGCAGAGCAATTTTTTTCTCGGTCACATAGATCGAGACGGCAAGCAACGTGTTAATCACAATTCTCTCTTTCCATCTCATTCGATTCGTAATAAGATCTACTTAGAATATTTTTTAAAAGTATACTCTAGATTTTAAAAGAAACTATTAAATGGTGTATATTAATTTTTTCAATCAGGAGATGGTATTAAACGCATGCGAATAGAACACTTAAACAATCATATCTCATTTAGTCATAGTTTATAGATTTCCATAGAAATCCATAAAGTCCATAGAAATAAAAAAAATGAAATCTATTTTAGACTGTTTCTGTATCTTTTTTAGTTATTGAGTTATTTTGCAAAAAAAAAACAGGGGATTTTTTAAAAAAATCCAAAAATAGTATCTTCGCTTTAAACTCGATGAACAACGAACAGATTCAACCAGGGTGGTTTTGGCGGGACTTTGTTACTTTCGGCGTCACAAAAAATATAAGCGGACTTTTTTTTGTTATACCGTAATTTTCATGCAAATTACTTTTACCAGTAGTCATTTTAAAGTATTTTTTAAATCTGTATAAAATTTTCATGAAAAACTTGTCGTTTTTCTGTCATTCAGCATCAGGTTTGGATTGCTGTATTTGATTAATAAAAGTCTACTTTTGAACAGCTATAACTTTGTTAATATTTAGTGTACGGTAATAATAAACAACGATTTTTTTTGTTTTATCAGCTTCTTTTTATATCAAAACAGTTTTTCCGATAAAATCGAAATTTTGAGTTATTGGGGAGAGATTTTTTGACGTGTAAATGTCAAAAAGTGTATTTTTAAACTTTTAGTCAAGAATAACTTAAAATATTCTCTTCTTAAAAATGATCCATGTAAGTACTTTATCGTAAAATACACTATTCTAGCTGCTACGATAGTTTTTTTATATATAACATTGTTCCACTACCGAGTTTGGGTGCTAACCACTCCCAGAGAAAAAGTACATAAATTAGGTAGATTTTAATCTTTGAGCATTTTTTAACTACTATCAAAATCTCAAGCATCGATGCATATAAAAAACTGTGCAGAATACCATCATAACCTGCAATATATTTAAATTTTAAAAATATTATTTCACCAAACATAAACTATAATAAATCTTATCAGGTTTTTTGGACTGCGAAGACAACAAAGGTTTTCATTTCAAGAGAAAATGGCACACTAAACATTAATGCATAAGATGGAGTGAAATTAAAAACAAACCCATATGCATAATGCATAAGATGGAGTGAAATAAAAGAGAATAAAAGGAACTAGTACACAATTGGTCCAAAAAATAAACAAGACAGCATTACGGCTGTTTACTTGGACATTTTACTTGTTCTAAAATTGCTCTTAATTGCTTCTCTTTAAAAATTGTTCTTTCTGTGAATTATGCTGATTGCAAAAAGAATCGAAATAGTTATTAACATTGAAAACTATGGCTAAGGGGATAAAACATGATTATGAAACATTTCGTAGATACCTCTGAAAAATGCCTCTGAATTAAACCAATCATTTGTTATAGCATTTTTCATATAAAAATGCTTGCACGTCACCGTTTATATAAAGTGACGTCACTTATATTTAAAATTTCCAGAACGTCAACCTTAGAGTTCAAATTTTCCCAACACAGCTAATAATACGAAACCCACACGGAACTGGTCGATATTTCATAGGCGTCAACATGGTGTAATAATCAGAAAAATGTAATCATCATTATATTGGAAATTTTAGAATTATATTGATTAAATAACAAAAAACATTTGTTATTATTAATAATATAAATTTTATGAAATAACTCTTAAGTCTAATACACCAAAATAATACAAAATACTAATTTTAATTAAATAAAATTAGACCATTGTACGCAACTAATACGGGAAAAAAGAATATAAAGTGTTGCCGCTTTTTTAGAGTTAGAATTTTGTTTACGTTTTGGTTTCTTACACAATATATATATATATATATATATATATATATATATATATATATATATATATATATATATTTATATATATATATATATAAATAAAATATATATATATATATATATATATATATATATATATATATATATATATATATATATATATTTATATATATATATATATATATTATATATATATATATATATATATTTATATATATATATATATATATATATATATATATATATATATAAATAAAATATATATATATATATATATATATATATATATATATTTATATATATATATATATATATATATATATATATATATATATATATATATATTTATATATATATATATATATATATATATATATAAATAAAAATATATATATATATATATATATATATATATATATATATATATATATAAATAAAATATATATATATATATATATATATATATTAAATTTAGATTAATAAATTAATAAAAACTAATTATTGTTGTGTGTTGTGATTGTGCTATGCCAAAACAAACAAATAACCTGTAGAAAACTGATAAGCTATCATATAAGATAGTTCTGGTATATTTTTAATTCTTTATGTGTTTTTGGTTTTCCTGTGTGCATGTCACTTATTTCTTGGCACTTTTCTGTATATCACTGTTCCTGTTTGTCTTCTCGATTGCCTCTTCAGTAATTTTCTCTCTCTTTTTCAGGTAACAGATAACAAAGTTATAATCGCCAAGATGATACCTAACTTTCGCTTGGCGGAAAAAAGCACATCAAGAAGAAATTAATTTCTTTATGTGATGCTAATTTAATGTTTTGATTCCATTTGTTTTTTAAGATTATATTAAAACTAATTTATTCATTTCTATCTATTTATTTATTTATTTATACGTATAGATATATATATAATATATATATATATATATATATATATATACATATTATTATATAGTCATTGATTTATTTTTACAGTTCAATCATTTACAATTTAGGGTAGCTGTTCATTTGGTTAAGACCGCATAAGTTGTGACCGCGACTAATTCTGATATAACCAATTTCACCCCAACTGGTTCCCCATGAGTTTTTAACGATGAAGACATCTTTAGTGTATCCCACAGCAAGAACTCCGTGGTTAAGGGAGGTTCCACAATTTTTGTTGTTGAAAATTCCTCCTCCATAAAACTGCCATGTATCAGCATCGACAGCGATGGAAATTGGACCTACACTAGCTGAAAAAAAAATTAAATTTTAGTTACTAGTTTAAGGTACATAACTCAAAGCTACGCTTACATACAAAAGGCATTAATTTATTATTATTATATACAAAAGGCAACAAAACCAAGAGAAAGAGTAATAGATTACAAAATAAAAGTATTCTCATTATTAGAAATGATATGTTTTTGATTGACAAATGATAATATTGACAAAAATTTGTAAATGAGATACTGAAGATGTTCACAAAAAGTTTTACGCGCACTCCAAATAGTGTTGAACTTACAAGTAGATTAAGTAAATGATTAAAGTTATATCGTTTCCAAAAATCAAATATTTCGAATTTGTCTTGCATTATTTTAGTTCAAAGCAGATGTAAAAAATGTTACTGACCAACTTATGACTAGAGATCACACCAACCTTATGGGTGGCCTTAATGCTATAATAGGAAAAGGCATACAAAGTAATATTGTTGAAGATTTTAGACTGGACGGTAGAAATGAAAGGGACAAAGGGAAGACTATTTTGCAGATTTTGTAAAGGATATAACCTATGTATACTAAATTCCTGTTTCAAACTACATAACCGGATATTATATAAGTGAAAATCTCCAGCAGATACCCCACTTAATATCATAAAAAATTAAATTAGCAACATAACCTTCAGTGAGCGAATTGTTGGCCGAATTGAAATTAAAGCTTAAACGGATAAAACAACAGCGTACTTCTTATAGAATGGATATGGATATTTTAAGAAACAACCGTAAGGTGATTGCAAACAACTAAGAGAGCAACTGACACTTAGCTCAGGCAAGACCAAACATAACTAACCTGCCACAATATATATGATATTGAATTAACAAATTAACATAGATCATAACAAACCAGAAAGAATTATATTTTTAAAGTCAGTACTTTAAAAAATCTATTAACTTACCAAGAGCACTAGCCAATGCAGCTTCAGTTCTGGCAAGATTTACGTATCCACTGATGGAAGAAACTTGTTTGTTTGATACCTTCTTGCAACTACCGTCTCTAGCTGTGTATGCGTATTGCTTTTCTGATGCAAGACCGTGGCTTCTAACATAGGCAAAGGCATTTGTCATTAAACCACCTTCACATCCAGAGTTTGTCGAATCACAGTCTACCAATTCTTGCTCACTTAGTTGAACATGTTGATTTTTGTGAATGGCAAGTTGACCTTCGAGGGCTCCGGTCTAAAATATAAGTCAAAAATTAAATAAATCAATTAAATGTATATTTTTGATTGAATTGGTATTGATGTTTCTGGCCTGTCTTTTTTTGTTTACTCTTATTCCAAAATAATAAGTAGATTTTACCTATTTATATTTTTATAAACATTGTATTCAAATATAGAGCTGACCACAAGTCAAAAGACACAATGAGTGTTTAGTATTTAATCATTATGACAATATCTTTTTTCAAATATTATCAGTATTCAGAGTAAGAACCGAAAGTCTACTCTTTCGGTGCCCTTGCCAAACAGTAGGTACATCCCAGCCTCTTAACATTTGTGTAAAAAGTACTTCGGTATCAGTTTTTGAACAGAACAGTTCATCCCGGCAACATTGTATAACAGAATAGCATTTCGACCACTTATCTCGCTTATTAGAAGCATAATTTCAATTCAGTTCGCCAATACAGTCAATTCACTTTACAATAACTACAATAACTTCTCTTACCAATCTAAAAAATAAATTCTTCAAACTCAGCAATTGTTTGTTACTGTGAATGGTACTGTCGGAATTATAATTTTTTTTTTGACTGTTTTTTTCCTTCTTCTTATTTATATCAGCAATTTTGTTTGTTCGTTGGCGGGTTATTGCCTCTATGAAAGATTGTTACTCCGTCTCTTCTGATTGTTTCTTATTACCCTTTTTGAATAATAGAATTAGCTCGTGTCTTACAATATTGTTAATTAATGTTGTTAGTTGATCCGTTATAGCCGCTCCACCTATTTGAGCAATTCATTCGGTATCCCATTTATCCTACAGCTTTTTTGTCCTTTAATTTTCAAGTGCTTTTTTGTACTATATGCTTACATATGTGAACTTCTGCGTTTATGATAATTTTCGGTGTTTATGGTTCCAATATCATCTGTTGTTCTTCTGTATATAATTTCTTCAGATAGTTCAACCACGCATTCTTTTCGATGTGTGTCGGGTCCATTAATTCCTTCACCTATGCTTCATATTCATATTCTTTTTTGTAAACCATAAAAATCGTACTCTGGTTCTTATGAGAAGTCAGTAATCGTTTTTAATTCTTCTTAGAAGTGCATATGTTTCATTGCTTGTTCCATTGTAATTTTAGTATGATTCTTGTTCATTTGACATGTACTTCAGGTAAGCGTTTTTCTTATTTTTTGCATTTTTCCTCCACCTTTATACAGATCGACGGAGTTTTGTGCTTCGGGGTATATTTTTTTAATTTGTTTAACGCAAAGAGCAGGTAATACCATATCTATACTCTGCAACTATATTAGATCTACAACGTTATTTCTCCTAAGCTTTCATGACTGCATGTAATTTTAAACAATTTTTTTTTTCAAAACTAAGAAGAAAAATATATATTAGTAATAATACTTACGGCACTGAAAGCCCAGCAGGATCCACAGCTTCCTTGATTTTTGACTCCCAAATCAGCTTTGTTTCTCCAGTCAACAGAATCTGCTTTCAAGTTGGGATCTGCTTCGAATGTTTCATCAAAGGATATTTCTGGTCTGTTAATCATCTGAGAATTCAACATGGCTTTAAATTCAGCACTGGACCAATCGGCAAATTGATTGACAGCAAGATAGTAGGTCTCTTCTCCGTTCTCGTATTTGGCATTGTGTTCTTCAATTTTGCGCAAGTTTTCGTGGAAAACTGCGAAACGAAGTTTGTCCTCAACAACGGAGTAAGATTTGTTGTGTGTTGCCTTTAATAAAAATAAGTAATTTGATTAAAGTTAGATCTTGTAAAAATTTTACAATAAAGAAATTATTAACATTTTTACGAAAAAAAATAGCAAAAATAATTATTATGAATTTAATAAGGAAACCAAAAAACAGAAATTCTTATTTTACTTGATAGGGATGATAAAAAAAAAATGATATTGATTCTAGAAATAATATTGGTATTATAGTAGAAACTCTTGGGTAGTGGGTAGGAACTCCTTAGACAGTCCTATCAGGGAGAATAAATCATTCCCTGCCCTTCACAGATTCCAGGTGTTTCTTGACCAGGAAAACTAGTACCTGCTCAGGTCCCTTGTCCGGGTCACGGATGAAGACCACAACGTATTCAAGGCGGAGAAGGATACCTTCGTACGGCGAGGATGGCGAAAGTGGCACCCCCTGATTTTAGGGTTAATATAAAATCAGTAGACGTCTGATCCAGAGATGATTAGATTCTGATTAGAAGATTCGCCGATAGATGTACTCCTGATAGCAACAACTATGGAACAACTACGAATAATGATTTTCAGACCTAGAAAAAACATCTCTTGAGAAAGGACTAAAAAATGAATCTAAAGAAAACTAAAATAATGACTAATCCAGAAGACACATCAGTAATTACCATAGGTGGAACAGACATAGAACACGTCCAAGAATATATTTACTTAGGACAAGCTATCAGAGCAGACAAAAGTAACCAGACTAAAGAAATAACCAGAAGAATAAGAATGGGGTGGGCTGCATTCGAAAACTCTCATATACTATCAAAACCAAAAAATACCTTTAAAATTAAGAACGAAGGTAGTTAATACATGCGTCCTACCTGTTCTGACATATGGTGCCCAGACGTGGACGTGTACCAAGAGCAACTTAGATAGAATAAAGAAAACTCAAAGAGCTATGGAAAGACAAATGTTGGGAATATCGTTGAGAGATAAAAAGAGGAACGAGTGGATAAGATGCAAAACCGAAACAACAGACGCTGTCGAACATGCATTGAAATTAAAATGAAATGGGCTTGGCATAATGAAAGATATCAGGATGGAAGATGGAATAAAGAAATTGGCCGCTGGAGACCATATACTGCAAAAAGGTCAAGAGGTCGACCGCAAATGAGATGGAAAGATGACATTGAGCAAAGCGCAGGTCCAATGTGGAAAAGATATCAATATAGAACGTGGCATAAGACAAAGAGGTAGTCTGTTTACGACGATATACAATATTATACTAGAAGGAGCAATTAGAGACAATGAGCAGAAAAAGACAATTATTCGAAATTTTACAGAAATCACAGGATACACTTCTAACGTTGGTAAGGATATGCAAAAAACAGAGGACTAATAATCAATCAGAATAAAATAGAATGCCTAATAAATACAAAAGACTAACTACTAAAAGATGTAAATAGACTAAAAGATATAAATAGACTAACAGAAATAAAAATCGGTGAAAATAGATTCCAGAGGATCGGTAACTTTAAATACCTGGGGGTATTACTAGATGGCAAAAATGGAAAGAATGCAGAAATAAGCGAAATAATTTTCTGTGCTCCTAAGCACACTACATCCAGTTAGCTTTTATAAAAAAAATCCAAAAAATCCAGCTTATATCCAAAAAAAATATCATATTTAGCTTTTTTAAAAAATGAGGTGATGGATTAATTTTTATAATAAACAAATAATAAACAAATTATTACTTTAAAATTGGTCCATTGCTCAAAGGCAGATAGGTTGGCATTTGTCGCCACAATAAGGGCAGCAACAAGGATGAACAGCTTCATTCTGATTTTTCTGAAAACATAAGACAAAATAGTAAGTAAATCTAAAAAACAGTTTGATTTTAATTTTAAATGTTAGTCTTAGACATTAAGATGTGAAATTAACTTGTGCATGCTAAACAAGGTACCCAATTGTCGCGTAAATTGTATCATACGATTATTCAAATTATTAAGAAACTGGTTGAAGTTTTTTATTCCATATTTTTGTTCCTCTGCTATACACGACACAACATTTTGACTATATAATAATATATACAGATTGGCCAGTAAAATGGTCTACCCAAATAGATTGCAATATCCCTTAGAAATTATGAAAACCAAAACTAGTCTATTTATTTTACAAAAGTGATCAATTTTTATTATCAGTAATTATCGTCACTTTCGTTTCACATTCCATTAATTTAAAATAAAAAAAAATACCATGGGTGGACATATCAGTAGAGAGTTACTTCTTTGGAGGATTTAGGCGTATATTGCTACCTTAGAATAAGATCGTCATATCTCAAAAAAGTCAAAAATGAACTATGTTGGTGAAGAGATTTCAAATATTGTATATTGTTTGTGAGATAACGGCATAAAGTAAGTCTATACTTATGACCGTGAGATGGCAGAAGTGTCATTATTGTTATTCGAAAGTTTGTTCGACATTTAACATAATATTGTCATATTTCATTTGCTTTCCAGGTATCATGGTAAGTGAATGTACTTCTTTTGTAAAACACTGCATCTTTCTGAGTTATGTCAGTATTTAAAAAAAGTAATATTAATATTTTATTTAAAGAATAATGTACTATTTTGAGATATGCCATCCTTTTTTAAAACATAATAAGATAAGACAATAAAATAAATTTAAATAGTCTAGAGTCCCTTACCATTCTCTTACACGTGTTTTATGGTCTACTTATTATCAAGAGATTTGTAGGGAGACTGGAACTAAATCAAAACGCACCGGCTAGTAACAACTATAGTAAAATGATTACCAAAGTAAGCATTTAGCGACCTCTAATGAGGAAAGATAAAATGTATGTCGATAGTGATTAAAGTAAACTGTGTACCCAAGCTAAATTAAGCCATCTAGAACGATGCTCTAAAGTAAGAACAATAAACAAAATAAATATATACAGATAGTTGCGTTTGGATTTAATTCAAGTATCTTACCCATAAGGCAATACTTTCTGTGAAGAATATTGCGTTATTTTGAGTTATGTCATTCTTGTAAAGAGGTTGAAAATATGCTTAAAATGAATTATTCTATTTTTTATATCAGTATTTTAGAAAATGATTGGAACTTTTTAAATGGTTGAACCGAAATATCTAGGAATTATTTTGATTTATGACATTTAAAAAAAAATAAATCAAATTGGTATTATTTCCGATTATAAAATGTCTCAAGGATTTAGCTAGACTTATGCTTAAGTTGACTTCTGTCAAAGACAATGAAGATAGTGTATTTTGAACGAATATAGGTGCATATAATGTTATGGTATTATAGATATTTAAAAAAGGAATTTTTTGTGCATTTTACACTATAGCGTTTTTTTTATTTTTATGACAAATATACATTTACATAATAAAGAAGTGAATTATCTCCAAAGATTATTATTAAAATTAAGATTAAGATTAAGATTATGATGAAATTAATATTATTGTTAACTTTGTAAGACACTTTTTAAAAAGAAAGTCATAACTCAAAAACTGTAGCGCCCATAATAGGATTAAGAAAGTATAGAACTCACTATAGCTTTGAATAGGCTAGTATACGCCAAAGTCAAAATAATAATCTGTTTTTAGTGATGGTAAAGTTTTATAATATTCAAAAATATCACCATATGTATTATATCTTATCATTACACCTGTTTCCTCTGAGTGCCTTTCTCAAGTGATCTATTTTTGGTATATCTTTACACTTAATAATTTTTAACTGAATGGGTTGAGAAGGAGAGAACTGTTTGTTTCAAGTTTAAGGTCATTCAAAATTATGTATCTATTTTTTAATTTGTTAATTTCCATAGATTCTAATAAAGATAACTTAAGGCCTTTATTTTGGATGTAAATAATTTGACATTTGTCAATTAAAGAATGATTATTATCTAGAAGGTGAAGTGTGTATGTAGAATCTGTTTTTTCTATTATTGTCAGCCCTTTATGTTCTGCTATGCGCTTGTTAAAAGTCCTACCAGTTTGATCGATGTAAGTTTCTGGGCAGCCGCCACATTTAAGTTTGTATACACTACTGTGTAAGTGCTTTTTTGGATCTTGTTGTTTTTAATATATTTGCCTAAGTTGTTGTTTGTTTTAAATGCTGATGTTTGGCTTATTTTGTTACATGTAGTGATAAAATATTGTAATAAATTTTGTGGAAGTTTTAAAACAAGTTTAGTTTTATTTGAATTATGTTTTTAAAATTTATCGATTTTTTAAATGGCCATTTTTAAAAATTGCCACATTTTGACATATGACGGTCTTCTTTCAAAGTATAAATATAATTTTTATTTCCATAGAGTCATTTTTGTGAGCAGATATTTATTTATTAAAAGTGTAAATCTCCTAACGCAAGGTTGCGTTTATTTTTTTAGTGTTATTACTCTTCTAGTTAACTGGTGTTTCATAAAAATGCAGTTAATATAGAAAGAATCAGGAATGCCTAAACATTCCATTAAAGTACATCTGAATTGGCAAATTTAAGCAACTTGTTTAAATTGATTCTATTTGAAATAAAAATTAATATATTTCAGAATGTTGTCCAAATATCAGCCTGGATTGTTTTAAGTTACCCACATTATATACACATAACATAAAAATGTTTAAGACGTCCATGTTGCATTCAAATAATCAATGTATTTGATAAAAAGCACTATATACCGCAATTTAGGAACTATGTACACTATTCGCTCCAAGCAGTTAAACAGGTGTCGCCTCTGTAGGTTATTATATTACCACCATAAGATTTACACCATTGAAAATATTTATAAATCTGCAGCATTAAAATCAAAAATTTGTAATTCGTCGTAATTATTGTATGTATATTAATTATTTATGTATAAATAACGTTATCGTAGTATTTATGTATTACCAATAGATTTGTTTAAGTTCAAATTTGGATGATATTTTTACAAACACAGTAAGATGAAATTTATAGATTATAGACAGCTTACAAGCTTGTTATTTATATTTTTTAAATAATACTATAATGCCAATTCTTTTTTTATATTCATTATACCAATTTATATATTTAAAGAGATAATCTAAGCTAAAGACGAGTTTAACCAATTATTTGAAAAATATTTTTTTTTATCCTAATCCTAACCTCACTTTTTGTCTAATTGTAAATACAGATTTACTGTTTGACTATTTTAAAGATATAATTAAAAATGGAGATTATTTTTTTCTTATATCAATGCTAATTTAATGTCATCAAGCAATAATATAAATAACTAAATTTCCTTATAATTTTAGGACTAAGCATATGGAATTATTCTTACATCTTTTTTAAAAGAATTTAAATATTGTTTTTAGCTTTAAAACTGCAATCCACAGTTCACGTTGATGCTTTTTATGATTTTCACGGGGAAATGCATAAAAAGTTCAACTAATTTTACTATTACTGTAGCAGTTTATTTGGCGATATGAGTGCTTTAAACGTTAAATGTAACGTGTATCCCCTCCCGTCAGCTGCATAGATCGAATACGGAAATGTACATGACATGAAAGACTTGGTAATACGTAAGAAATGCAATACATCGAATAAGGTAAACAGTATATTTAAAGGAACAAACCTCAATTATCAAAGCACAAAGAATAAAAAAAAATAGCATAAAATGATCGTTATACATATAAAATTATATTAAAGAAATTTTAAAATAAAAAGTTTATTCGATAAGTAAAAATCAAGAAATTCCTATGCTTAGTAGAATATTTGATAAAATGCTAAGACAGGAAATAATATATGAGCCATATTCAATAATAAAAAGTACTAAGTATGTGATCTTACCTTTTGCTAAGAACAACAGAATATAACTTGCAAATGCGAAAATTAGAACAACTTTTATACTAAATTTTTAATCCTGATCCTCTTGATATTATCTTGATAGTTGCTACAACTATACTTCACAGCGATAAATAAACACTTTGAATATTATTAATATCAAAATGCGTTTCAGAGAAGTACTTATTGATAAAGTTGACAAATCACCTTCAACTGAACTTATTTACATGATTTTATTTTTAATGAAATATATGCGTAGCAAAAAATTATTCCTCCCGTTCACAAAAGCTTTAACTTATTTGAGATACTTTGTACCATACATAATAAAACTAGATTATTAAGAAGTATACTTAGAACATCGATGCACTATATGCTCGAAAACACCGTTGCTAAGTACTAGTAGATTATGGGCGGGGTCGTTCATAAAGCTGAGAAACGCAAAAACGAATAAATACAAAAAAAATGAAAAAGAGACAAAAAAGAGCATTGAAGAGAACTAACCTAAGTCTTCTTTGCAATGGATTAATTGTGTCAAAAATAAAAATACACGCAGTTAATGAAAAATTACAAAAAAGATCAAACAATTTACTGGTTAGTTAATCCATTTCGTTTTAAACATATTTAAAATAGAGACTGTACAAAACTATTAACAATAAATATTTGAAAATTCTATCTCGTACCTCACTTCAGTCGCTGGGATCTTTCTATTAACTTTTTTAACTTAAAAGTAACATCCCTCGAATTGGTTTACAATAAAAGGACAATATTTTTGATATTTATAGATTTTGATACGACGCATGATACAGTTCCTAGACAAGAGCTTTGTAAATTTATGAAAGATTAAAGAAGACCAAAGTGGAAACCGCACTAGGAAACTACGGCTATGGAGAAAGAAATGAAAGAGGGACCATGCTTGCAGATTTTTAACACCAAGAAAATGTGTTTTTTTCTATAACTCATTCTTTCAAAAAAAGCCCCAACGAAAGTGGACGTGGAAAAGTCCAGACGGTTTCACAAAGAACGAAATGGATTTTATCATTGCTAATAAGAAATTGTACAAGATGTACTGTTCTATACAGATTTACAATTGGAAGCGATCACAGATTGATTCGAGCAAAAATTCTGTTCAATTTAAAGAATGAGACGAACAAAAATGATAAAATTAGACAATCGTAAATGGACCCCGCCCGAAAAATACAGACCACTTGCGTGACATCATTGACCATAACCTTTAACAAATCAACGATGAAACACAGGTCGAAGTTTTAAACCAAAGTATCGTAAAAGTTCTTAAAGAAGGGAGAAGTTGTGCTGTCCTAAAATAAAGAAAAACATGAGAAAATAAGTCTCAACACTAAAAATCTGATCAAAGAAAGAAGTGAGACTAAAGGACAGGTATAACACAAACTACGCAGAAATTTAGTCAAACTCAGTAAAACAATAAACAAAGAAATCCCTTAAGACATACGGCAACATTAACATGAGAGAGGTGACAAGGGTGATAGAGAAAAATAAAAGTCTGAAAGTTCTAAGACACAACATGTCCACAGGAATAAAAGAACATACATAAGTTAAGGAAATAAACAAGACGACATTGTGACTGATAAGGAAGAAATAGTGAAAAGGTGGAAGACTTCTACAGACAACTCTATGAAACAAGGAATCCGATGAAAGACCTCCTTTACCAAAGGTAAAAAAATTAATAATAAAAGAATAAAGGCTCAGAATTAATGCCGAACATAACTGCTGACGAAATTAAAAATTGCACTTCGGGTGATGAAGAACAATAAATCCCCAGGTGAAGACAGGGTAATGACCGAAAGCCTAAAACTAGGAGGTACAACTGTTTAATAAATGTCTGTGCGAAGTCGATAACAACCGACGCAGTGGAACAACGCGGAAATCATCTTTACTTCATAAGAAGGGAGATATCAGCGACCTTAATAACTACCGCCCCATTAGCTTGTTGTCACAAGTATATAAGCTATTTATAAGAGTTATTACCAACAGGCTAGAAGTAAGTTGGATTTCTATCAGCCAAGAGAGCAAGCAGGTTTTAGAGCAGGATATGGCACGAATGATCATTTACAAGTAATTATGAACTTAATAGAAAGAGTGCTTGAATATAACAAGCCATAGTCATGTATTATTGACTACGAAAAGCTTTCAAAACAATAAGTCATCAAAAGATGTTTAAAAGCCTTAACAGAGTGCCGTATAGATCATCGCTATATAAACATGATAAAATACATCTATCAAAATGGAACAGCAAGCGTGAAACTGGCAGATAAAGAGACCAAAACGTATTTAAAATGAAACGGGGAGTCACAATTTCGCCAAAATTGTCTACAAACATTATTAGAGCATATGTTTAAGAACGCAAATCTGAATGAAAAAGGAATTAATGTCAATGGAGAAATGCTTAGTCATTTGAGGTTTGCTGACGATATTGTAAAAGTAATACGAAGAATAGGAAAAGACCCAGAGATTTTGTTAACGCTAAAGCGAAGAAAACTCGAATATTTTGGTCACTGATGAGAGAACATAAATACGCATTACTTCAAAATATAATGCAGGGAAAAATAGAAGGAAAACGGAATCCAGGCCGTAGAAGAATGTCATAATTGCGGAATTTGAGAGAGTGGTTTCACCACTAATGAACTCTTTAGGTCAGCCGTAAACAAAGGTCAGAATAGCCTTGATGATTTCCAATCTCCGATAGGAGTGGCACAAAAAGAAGATAGAAGACGATATTGTCCTTTTTGCTGACAGAATCGATGATGCAGATATCGCAACTGGAAGAAACTATACCTTAGCCTCCCCTACAAGTTTGGATTAAAAATCAACCACACAAAAACACAAATCATGACAAATCTTGTGTTAAGCGAAAAGATTTCAGTAAATGGCATGCATATTGAAGAAACCACCTCTTATAAGTACTTAGGACATGAGATACGCATAGGAAGAGATAATCAAACGTGCGAAACTAAGCCGCCGCATAGGACTCACTTGGGTGGCATTCGGCAAGCTGAGCTATGTTCGTAAATCAGAAACTGCCTATGTGTCTTAAAAAGAAAAGTCTTTAATCAGTGCGTGTTGCAAGTACATTACATATGGTGCAGAGACATTAACACTAACCAAAGAAAAGTAAGAAATAAAGTTGTGTTACCCAAAGAGCCATGGAACGATCGATGTTAGGCATTTCTCGTAGGGATCGGATCACCAACACAGGAAATAATGACGGAGAACAGGAGTGACAGATGCAATAGAAAGAATTATGACCCTTAAGTGGGAACTGTTTGGGCCATACTTATATGACTGTTGATTTAATACATACCACAATTGAGTTAAACCTAAAAAATATAATAATTGGGGCTTCTTCAGAATAGCCAACGGTTATTGTTAATTTACGTACACAACCACAGCCCTACGAGGTAGAGGTATTAAATTATACTGACTTCAAAGATTTCAAAGCTCTACAAAAAGCTATTTTTTCCATACTAAAGTAGAATAGCAACGGAAAATACTATATATACTATTGATATTGATAGTATCCGAATTAAAACTAATAGCTTTTGAAAAAAATTCTCCCACAGTGATAGCAAAAGCATCACTAGATCCGGAAAGTGAAGAAATAAGAATTTGTGTGAAAGGACACAAGACCAGGCGACCAAACATTACATCACCTTCACTGGCACCGCTATACAACAAAGAATTAAAATTGGTTTCTAAAAAATACGAGAATATAATGAATTTAATTGAAAATAATGTTAAAAAAATCGTAAAATAGTTTTTTTTGTAATTAGATGTCGCTATTGCGTCCGTATTGAAGCCATGTTATTGTTGCTTCTTAAAAGGCAGAAAATATTGATTTTTCACGTTGAGAACCCTATGAATAGCTCTCTGACGAGACCTATTAGGTCGAAATACATATCAAGAGATACATAGGATTTATTTGCGTGAAATCATATATTTGCTGCCTTTTCTCAGAAAATAATGTTATTCCAAATCGGTACCACGAAGAATACATTAACTAATACCACTATTAAGGATTACTATTTTATTTATTATAGTATCTCTATCACAAGCTCACGTATAACAAGCTCAAATATAACAAAGCACCAGGTCCAGACATGATAACAGCAGAAATGCTTAAAGCCACAGAAGAAACCGGCGTAAAGTTACTTCATCTACTCTGTAACCAAATATGGCATTCCAAACAATGGCCTGAAGACTGGACAAAATCTACAATAACGACCATACATAAAAAAGGCAGCTTCCATAATGCGACAATTATAGAACTATCTCTTCTTATATCCCATGCCAGCAAGATAATGCTACATATAATCAATGAGAGACTGAAAACATTCCTTCAAAGAGAAATTCCACAAGAGCAAACTGGATTTACCAAAGGTAGAGGCACTCGAGAACACCTGCTGAATATAAGACAGATAATCGAGAAATCTAAGGAATTCAACATCCCACTATACATCTGTTTTATAGATTACCGTAAAGCGTTCGACAGGGTCAAGTGGAGACACTTATGGCGAATACTAAAAGAAGTAGGCGTACCACAACATCTAATTACGCTTATAACTGAACTATATGAACACACTACTGGATCAGTTAAAGTACTTGACACACTTTCTAACGAGTTTCATCGAGAACGGGGTGTCAGACAAGGATGTATACTATCTCCACAATTATTCAATATATATGGAGAGTGTATTATGCGAAGAGCACTTGAAGGATGGGAAAAGGGCATCTCAATAAATGATCATAAACTAAACAACCTACGTTTCGCAGATGACACAGCCCTTCTTGCAAATAGTCAAGCAGAGCTGATGGAACTTATACGACTGTCGAAAACGAAAGTCAAATATTTGGTCTGCAATTAAACATATCAAAGACAAAGATCATGATAGTGGATAGACTACACAACAAGCATTCCACACATAACCACATTTGATCGGTTCGAGGTTGTGAGCTCATACTTATATCTGGGATCATTAATCACAAACACAGGGTCATTACAAGAAGAGATTAAACGTAGATGTGATCTAGCAAAAGTTTGCCACAGCAAAAATGACCAAATATGGAAGGAATGTCAAATTCAAGAGCGATAAAGAT